CATAGCATCACAGATTATTGAAAAAGATGGGGGTTTTATTTTTTCAATTTTCCTTCTTTTTTATGAAAAAAATTGAAAACTAATACGGTTGATTGACGTAAAAAATTTTTTTCTACAAAAAACCTTCAATACATTTTTGCTCTAAAATAATTTGGGGAGCCAATAATCGCATGTTATGAATTTTACATTGAAATCGCTACGATGCGTTACGCAAGTCACCACCCTGTATACTATTATCCTTATTGTTGATTTCATAATTGCACTGATCACAATTCTTGAGATTAACGTGTAATGTGTGTATTTAATTTACAACCGTAAGAACGGATTACTTTTGGCCTCGCTTTTCGCCAGCTTCAAGCTAACCCATCAGAGGAGCACTGGTCGTATTTGAAGAGAGTCTTGCGATATCTCAGCGGAACGTTGCAGCACGCCAGAAGGAAGCGGATCAAGTGGTCGGTTTTGCCGCAGCCAAGTGGGCGACAGATCAAGGTGATGGTCGCTGCGTTTCCGGTTATGTGTTCCAATCTTGGACCACTAAGAAACTTCGAATGAATCGGAATGTAGTGCTTTGGCGGATTGTGGATCAGCAAGCTGTTTGAAAGATTATAGATCCGTGAGAAACAGTCCATCGTCGGTCAACAACAACGCCTTCCAGAAAACTGAAGCGCACGGATGTTAAACTGAAATTAATCAAAGAATGCCTCGAGAAGCGGAAGGTCGTAACTTATACAATATAAGTTACCCCATACTAACGACCAAATTTGGCCACCCTGTAGGTATAGGGCTGAGCCCGTTGCCCAATCGACACATTTTTGCCAAAACGATATTGAACGTTTTGCTCAATACCAATAAATAGCACTGACATGCTTTTCGGAGAGTAATGAAGTAAAACATTGGCGTTCAAACCAATTACATGGAAAATTCGTCAACAAAAAAATGTTGGCAGCGAACCGCTCTGAGGTGGGCAATAAATTGTTTTCGCTACCTTACCAAACAGTCATAAACAACAAAAGAGACCTCTAATTTGTAACTGTCGCGTTAGTCGTAAAACGCGGAAACTAAAATATTCACGAAGTCGGTCGACGTACCTATAGATAAATTTGAGGAATGCAAGTGCGCTTAAAATAGTTTCCCGTCAGTTTTAGTGTTGATGGAAGGCTGATAAATTGGGCAGTCGACTGTTAAATATAAAACAAATACATCGCACGCCGCAAAATGAGCGCGCAGCGTCGGGATCGATACCTTTGCACGAAGACGTCGTTTTTCAGGCCCCTTGTGTATTACGGTATGGAGCGAGAGCTGAGATTGTTACCAAGTAGTTATCAGCTTGCTTTGTAAGAGAAGAGGTTCATTACTGCTACGTAGGTGTCGCCGCAAAGTAGCACTCGTAAAGTCAAGCGCTTCTTGTACCCCCCATAAAACCTTTACAAATCCCACCCGAATATTGGCATTGTAGCTCTCGGTCTTCAGATGTAAAAACAATTGATGGATAAGTAGAAGAAGGAAGGGTGTTACATACAGTTTAGGACTACTCGAAACCAGACCAGGAAGCAATTATGCTGCGAAGGTTCAGAACTTGGGCACTGAGATTTTTAGGTCCCACAAGCCAGCAGAGCCATTTTAGAAAAATGAAGGACGAAATACATCAGAATTATAGGCCCTTTTTGGACACTTGAACAAATTTTCAGGCGGCATCCTTTAAACAAAAAAAACTATCATCCAGATCAGTTTGATTTTGCCCCTCTCGGAGATGTAGTGGATAAATAAAAATTATTTATTTATTGTTTATTTATTGTCCCTCTCTTGTTCTGAGCCCTCAACGGGCTTTCGCCCAATTAATATATTTATTTAAACTCTTAACTTATATTTCAAAAATCCGATACAACTGAATACCAAACGATCCTCGAGATCTTAACACATAAATCATTTTTACAATACACCATAAGGGGTTGATTCTGTCCCACCTGATCAGCATAGCTTGTAACACAAATTTTTTGAAATTGAATTAGTCTTACTTTTATTTGAGATGCCTGAATACAACATTTCATTTAAATACTTTAACAAATAAAAGAAAACCGACTGCGCATGCGCAATAGTATATTGAAAGACAAGTGTTACAATGCGACCTATTGTAATACGACTATCTTGTGGCACGAGTGGCGACGCGAAGCGTAGCCACGAGTGTCCGCAAGATAGGAGTATTACAATAAAGCATTGTAACACGCGTTTTTCATACTATTTTTTCTATTTCGGTGCTTTAATTTAATTAAAAAAATCATTATCAGAAACTATAGGGAACATTAGAACTAACATGTTTTATGTTGGGAACACTTTTTATGCCGTTAAGTTTTAGGTTGGCAGCGTAGTAAGACTGACATTTTGAAGTTCAAACATGGAAGTACCCAACGAAGTACCTACTTGTACTAACTAGTAACTGCCAACTTAAGAGATGAGTTACTAAAAAAAACGACTATAATCACTGTCTTTGTACAACAGTTGTACAAAATCATCATTATGACACCGAAATAGAAAAAACAAATTTTCTGATTTGGCATTAGTTTCACTTTTATTCGAGGTGCCTAGATACAGAATTTCATTTAAATATATTAACAAATAAAAAATTAGGATTGCGCAAATACAAAAGTTGTTATGCGCATGCGCAGTATTTGTTTGCATTTGCATAGTTGCCTGAAGTTTAAGGAATATTTACTAACACAGAAAACCGGACATTCATATGTTCTTTGTAACAAGAGTTAGAAACCTTTTTTGGAGGTTTACGCAGTTTTTGGTCTGTAACTTTTTGGCCAGTTGGTCTACGTAGCCGAAAAACAATTGCGAACTATGTTATATCCTGAAGAACATGTGTATATCAATTTTTAAAGCGATCGGACGTTTCTACACAAAGTTATCGTACACACTGACATACAGACGCACAGACAGGCAGCAATACAAAATTATAAACGATCTCGAGGTCCGTTAATAATATAATGAGACGAATAATTTTAATTTTTTTTTGTACTTCTTTCCAATTCAGGAATATCGTTTCAACTTTTCTTCTCGGAGAGTATAAGAGAAGATGCATAGACAACTAAGACACTTTTAACATTACTTTTTTTAAAACCTGAAACACAACAACTTGCTATATATTTGATTTATTAGTAAAAGAAAATTCAAATTTCAAATACCTACTTGACAGATGTCTCCAAACAGGTGGAACAATCCCTAACATTAAAGTTACTAGAATCTGGTAACTTCCGCAGTTTTTGGGCAAAAAACATGCGTTCTCTCTCTAACACACGGGGGCCCAATGGATTGCGGTACTTTCTATATTTAGTGACTTATAATGGATCTAATACAGATGTCCATGAACTTGGCAGGCCTACTACAGCAGACCATAGTTCTGCTTACTCATATCGTTAGTGTTCCATTAGTGCACGTTAGTGCCGCCGAAGAAATCGTTAGTGCACAAAAGGAAACTTACTATTTTTAAAAAATATTTGTGGGCCTGCTAACTTCATGCCAGCAGATCCATTTAAGAAAATCGATTCAATTTTTACACTAGTTAAACTAGCAGCGTTAGTGCTCGTTAGTGCCGCCAATATAAAGGCGCATAAATGCGCATAACGTATCGCACATGTGATCAGCTAGCTTCTTCTTTAGCCAGCAAAATCATAGTTTTTTTGTTTAAAGGATGTCGCCTGAAAATTTGTTCAAGTGTCCAAAAAGGGCCTATAATTCTGATGTATTTCGTCCTTCATTTTTCTAAAATGGCCCTGCTGGCTTGTGGGACCTGAGATTTTTTGCTGTACGATTTTAGGCACGATGCCTGCCAAATACCATGAATTTATTAACGCTTGGGAGCCAGTACCTAACGAAAATCGAACGTTGGGTAATCTTAGAGAGAGGTCATGTGTTATTGAGCAGCGGTTGAATGTTCTACTGTGGATGTTGCCTATTTTTCCAGTAAGAATAAGCCTAACAAACCCGAGCAGGGAAATGGTCACGCTAAGGGCGGTGGGAGTGGCGATAAGTCATAGGAGTTAGTCCCGAAATGTTACAAATGTGGCGAGTTGGGGCATTATAAGCGGGAGTGTAAAAAGTCCAAGTCTAAGAAGAGTCATGAAGGGTATGCGTTTGTTTAACCAATCGTATAGCTTCAAATCTGTGGATTCCTCTAATGCTTGTATTGCAGATTTTGGGCTGAGGCTGTGATGACATCTGCGTGTGTGATTAACCGAACAGGACCGTCTCCAGAACCAGGAATTTCGCCATACGAACTTTGGTACAAGAAGAAGTCTGCGATCAGTGCTGTTAAAGTATTCAGTTCTGAATGCTTTGAACACGCAACCAAATGAGAAGAGGCGGAAGTTCGACAAGAAAACTCGTCGGAGGGGTGTGATCTTCAAGACGGAAAAGCAGTCGACTGCCATTTTTTAATACTGTAGCAGTAAAAGCGAGTCTGAGGTCACCAACTTAGAAGAAGAGGAGATCAGAATCCTACACTAGCGCCACAAAGTCCGTGTAATAAAAAATATGAAACTTATGCCTTGAATATCACAGAATGAACAGGAAGGAAGAAAGCTCAATCACGAAGAAGCGAAACGAGCAGGGGAAAACGACAATGTAAAAAGCTTTGCCAAGGGGTTTTATGAAACAATCTAGTTCACGGCCACCTATTCTTTCTAACGTGATTATGACCATCATGTCGCAGATTGTACATGTGAACTCTAATTCTTATCCAATTTAGTGCTCTTTATCTCCGTCAACAAACGCTAATTCCACGACACTTATCGCACTGCAATAATAAACCACGCGCGGAAACGGTAATTAAAATGCGGCAGATAGCGCCTAAAAAAGTTTCTCATTGCCGAGATAAACAACGCGAGCGAATGTCTTTGAAATAAATTCAGGGCCAGCCTCGAGTTTGAGTTGCTGCCAACAGTTTACATAATTACCTACATTTTGCACGGACCCAGCTTTTATTGAAATCATTGTTTCAGTAGACATGGGAGAACGTGAAGAGGAAGCGGTCGGCGAATTCACAGAGTGACGGTACGTGGAGTGGTAGTCCTGGTCAGCCATGCTCGTCAAGGAGTACAGGATACCAATTCCGCTCACCGTGGAGGAATACCGCATCGCGCAACTGTACATGATAGCGGTGAGTATGGCACCCCCGAACCGGTTGTTGGTTTTAGTGCGAGGTTGTAGAAAAAAAGTCGGGAGGAGAGTAGCGGCGCCGGAAGCGGTGTGGAAATTTTGGTGAATGAACCTTACAGCGATGGGCCTGGCGGACAGGGACAGTACACTCATAAGATATATCACATCGGAAGCCATCTTCCTGGTAAGTGCGTCACCTGGTCTGAGGAAAGTGAGTTACGCGACATTGACCCTCAAATAACTTCCTTGCGGCGGTTATTTGCAACGCCCGCCAAAAATAGTTCTGATACACTACACTTGTTTTCCTGATGTAAATTTACAGTGTTTTGCCAAATTTATTTAACTACGTATTTATAGCGACTGCAACTTTACACATTTTATTTAACATTGCACATGTGTGTTTTTTTTAATTGACAGTAATTGGCAACAATTACAGTCAATCCAGTAGTAGGTCCCTCATATACATTTCATGTGTTCATGCTTTGTTAGGGGTTAACTTATCTGCATGGTAGTCGACCAAGTAGTATGGTCCCTTGAAAGGCTGTGTGTCTTCCGACTGATTTATGACTTGCTTTGTGTGGCCTTTTTGAATTCCACAATGAGGCTCTGGACCTTTTGGCATAAGCTGAATTTGCCTGCAATATCCAAATGCCATGGAACCCATCATAAATTAGCAGAGTTTTCGAGTGCTAGCTGCTTCTGGTAGCAGATGCACTTTCAGACTAGTTCAAAATCACAAGTGTCAGGCCACTAAGGCCTTTAGTCATTGAATAAGCACCTTAAAGAAGTATAACTACATAGGAAAACCTGAAATCGGTGTAATCGGTGTAAGGTGTGTTGCATACACTGCAAAGTGGTTAATTACCACAAATATTGAGGATATTTGGCCTCGGGGGGGGGGGGGGGGTAAATAATGACTATTTTAAACAGGGAAACCAGTTATACTTAGGGATCCTTTGTTTTCCTTGTTTATCAGAGTTGAACAGTGTTGTCATATTTACCAGATCCTTATACAGGGTGTCCCTAAAAGGTCTGTACAACGCGCTACCAGGGGTTCTTGGTATCAAAATAGGACGATTTAACCCAACTTACCTCTATCCAAAAGTGCTTCGGTAAGGCGCTATCTACCGCCAAAGATTCAAAAAACAAATAGTTATTTTTATTTTATCGGAAAATGGTTTTGCCGATTAAAATGAAAGTCGGGATGTGAATGTCTAATGTAAAAAGGGTCTTTGTGATATCATCGTTTTGATTGTAGTTGCTATGTAGGTGGTAAGATACTGACCATCCACATCTGAAGAGGTCTAAAACTTTTTAACTACTATTTTGACGGTTCTGAATTTTTAGACACTGATAGACAGTTTACTTGCAAGCATTTTTTGTCTCTTGATGAATATCGCTATCTGTGATGGTTTACGAAAAAAAAACATTTAGGCATGATGAATGGCATGCACCATACATGCGATTGTTACTCAAAAAATCAGAAGATGGCTGTGAAACCTTAGAGTGGCGTAACGTTTGTTTGTTGTTTCTTAAACTTGAACAATTTACGTTTTGCTTGAAGACATACAGTAACGCAGAGTTAACTGATATGCTATTAGTGTTTGGATACTGTCGTGGAAATGGTCGCCAATGCGTTAGGGAGTATACTCACAGGTTTCCAAATCGTCATAGCCTACTTCTTGCTTGCACTTATGGTTTTTGAGGCCTTACTTTCGCTAAAAAATAAATATGTTTTGATTCAATGAAAATAATATAATAATACTTTAATATATAAATATACCGGGTGCTCATTATGTATGGAATATAGTATATATTTCGGAAAGATCGAATGTATGCAACAATTTTTTATGTGAAAGTTGTTTCACATTTTATTTCCCATAATGAAGCAGCATTCCATTGCTTTTATTCCAGAAAACAAATGAATAACGAAAATAATTGAATTTTTTTAAATAGCAACGCACATTTTCATTAGGCTCATTTGATTTCTTTTCTCTTTTCAATGACATAACACGTTGGCACCCGTGTAGAAGAAGTTAATTTTTATTTCAAGTTTTTAGCGCATTTTTGAAAAAATACCCTATTATATTCGTTATGGCTGGCTGGCTGGCTGTCCGGCTGAGATCTTAGCAACTACAATAGCTAGACACTCAAATTTTCACTAAAAGCTTTCTGCTATAGTGTAGATGTGCAGGTTCTAGTCTATTTTGAGTTAGATTACTTGTGAAATCGATAATTTAAGAAAATAATTTCGATATGGTTTTTGGAGGTGCTATAATTTTACCGTTAGATAGCGCTACCAGTATAAAAACTTAATTATTTACTTTGTGATTTGTTTTACAAAATTAAGATGTACCCTCAATTGAAATTAAATAAAATGAATTATTTAACGCAGCCAAAATTACTCGTGAGATCGATAATTTTAAACTTCGCTAATAAAATACTGATCCGTATTACCAAAAATGCGCTTTAATCATGCATATGCTGATTTACAACTTGTTTGGGATAGGTTATGCCACTACCTTGCAGTGAATGATGAACATTTTGAACATTCATTGCGATGAAAACCATTTTACTGCTAATTTCGTTTTGTCTTCAAGGTTTAATAAGAAACGTACACGTTCATTTGTTTTATTTTTATGTAGGATATCTGGATTAATGTTATTCATCTAATTATGATTCATTTTTTAAAAAAATTTTCTTGAATAAGGGTACTAACATGTTATATCATCGAAAAGGGAAAAAAATCTATCAAATGATCCTAATGAAAAGGTGCATTGCCATTTAAAAAATTCAATTGTTTTTCGTTACTTACTCATTTGTTTTCTGAAATAAAAACAATTGAATGCTGGCATTTATGGGAATAATTTCATATATATTCGATATTTCCCAAGATATATACTACATTCCATACATAATGGGCACCCTGTATAATATAAAATATCTGTCTGATTAGCAGCGAAATATGTTCAACTATTGATTAATTAAAAAACCTACGAACGAAATTCTCATTCGTACGTGATAGTCATTAGTCGCGAACAAACCCTCGCGCTCGCCGGTGAGTGAGTCATTCTTGCATGATCTCCTCCTCTCCCTTCGCCGCGTGACAGTCATTCAAAGTGCTTAAAATGACGACTTTGCATGTATAATTTTGCAAAAATTTCCGGAGTAGGACTCATTCCCCCCCGGGGGTATTCCATAACCCTTCCCCCCCCCTCGGAAATCATTGTTAAAGAACGCCCCGCAAAAATATTTCGCTCCAGGCCTCGCATTTGCTAAGGACGGCTCTGATTGCGAGGGGTTGGTTACATGGTCGTTGAAAGTTAATTTGTGTATTTTGAGATCGTCTAAACTGTATAACACTAAACTCGAAAATGTTTACCAAAAAAACCAACACAAAAAAACAAGGTCGCTCATTAGAAACGTCACCGGAAAATTCCTGGACACGCCCCTGCACTACAAAACAAGGTCACTTCTTTGTTACGTGTCCGGGAAATTTTAGTTGGAGAAAGAAGTATGTGCGAAGAGAACTTAAATCGTTATTACACAATTAGAATATTAACTAAGTCCATCAAGGGTAAGTGCGATACCTTATGAAGCTTTGCAGCTTCTAGGGGGACATGCTTTTGTCAAGGGTTGTATCGTTTGGGACGTCCACGCCGGATCGCCCTCTTACATTTTATCCATCACCTCTGTACATGCTTCAGTTCTCTACGGTTTGTTGGGATAGAATAATTAGATATTAGAGTACGCAAAATTTGTTCCTTTTAACAAGCCTGCAAAGCCTTCTGTACTGTCCAGAATCGTACTTGTGCGTTCAAAATGTGGAGCAATAAACAACGAAGTGCGCCAATAAGTTTGCCGCCATCTTAAAATAGATTCCCTCTGGTTTCCTTTTCCTAACACGTAAACACATCATTAGACTAACAATGTGCAGTCTGTCCTAATGTATTTTTAGCAGTTTCTTTAAAAAAAAGTATCCTTGTCGGGTTTTTACTATTACCCACGCCTCACTAGGATTTAAAACTTGGAGAAAATTAACACAATAACGTTAATAGGATGGCTGAAGGGAATTCTTCCGAAGACTGCGTTAATGGCCGACGAGGAAGCTTGGAATGCATATCCTTACACAAAGACAAGATACACATGTCCTTTTGTAGAAAAATTTTATTTAGAAATTGAAACGTATTATTTTAACGATAACGGACACCAAGAGAACGTCTTCAGATTAAATGGAAGCGATCTTCGAAATAGAATAGTTGGTGAGTATCATTGCCGAAAGGGCGCCGATGGCTCAGACCTTAAATTCCAGATACAATAGATATAGTCAGGGATCAATTGTACGGGACTGATTATGTTAAGGAGGAGGATCCGAAGTATTACAGATCTGAGAAGACCGGGCGTGGACCTTTGACTGAAACGTGGTTAGAGGACTATTGGAATGAGGTTTGTGACGCAGTTCTCCTTCCTTTGAAACTCGTGTGTTTTAGATTCAGGGGAGAGCTCAGCCGTTACGAAACGGAAAATCGCTAATGTGTGCCTATAAATTATGCCGGGTAGAATTTCGATATTGGGGAATGCAAACGAAGCTCGAGCGTTTCATTCACGACGTTGGTAAGTGTTTAAGCGATTGATGATCGGGTCGCTTTTACAAGTGAATTTAGCGCTAAGAAAAACAATGGTGAGAGCGCATCGACAGGCTTGGGCATGGCAGGACGAATGGTACGGACTGTCGATGGAGGATATTCGAGAGATCGAGCGACAAACGCAGCTGGCCTTGAAGCGAAAAATGGCGCAGGCCAATGGTGAAGAGTTTGGTGGGTCGCGTACGGTCCGAGTCAGTCGGCTGATGTTTTAATTGCAGATGACGACTACCCCAGCTCGAATTCGCAAGACACTTCCGCCGCGAAAACACTTGCGGCCACGCTCGGTAGTATAGAGAAAAATGAAGATGTGCCTGGTATTCTGCTGACCAAAAATACTTCAAACATTCCCACGGTGCACACCGACAATGGATCCGATCTTGACTTATCTCCCGATGAGCCCAACAACGAGATGAACTTATCCCTGCAACGGTAAGTTCTTTTTCTTTTTTTAGCAGACCGCCGGGTATTACCAGGGCGTTCTTCCGGTGGTGCCAGGTTTAGTTTAGCTTTGGCGCAGGGCCCGCTTGACCTGAGGTTTTACTCTCGCGCTGGCGCTTCCTGCCATCGCCTTATTCTGTGTGCCAGTCCTATTCTTCTTGCGAATAAGAGCTGGCCAACCCCCAAGTCTTTGAATAGTGTCCTATGGTGGGCCCGTCTCCTTTTTCGTGGAAATTGCCCCTTTACCGGGTCTGGCTTGTTGGTCTCTTCCGACGAGGGGGAGAAAGCGCTTGTTTGAATTATCGTCCCTACAATTCCCACGAGTTTGCTGCCAACCCAGGAGCCATCACTCTGAGGAAGCTCTGTATCCGAGGGACAACGTTATCAACACTGCATCCCAGCGCCATTCAGTCGTCGGCACGGTCGCTTTAACACGATTCACTTTACGATCATTCAGGTATCTGTGTAGGCGTCCCCGTATCCATCACCGGAAGACGCGCCCGATGGGTGCCTCCACCCCGCGGCATTACATACTTATATTAACAAACCATGGCTGATGCTAAAGCTAAAAAGGAGACTCACCGGCGCGAAAAACGGCCACCTGCTTTTAGGCATTCCAAGGAGGATGCAGGCACGTGGGGCTAACGCCCATTATTAAAAAAATGTAACGGCGCTTCGTTTTTCGTGCTGGTGAGAGTAGTTTAAATAATGAACTCCTTTTCTATCGCAGAAATGAAGACCGATGGCAGTCGCGCGGGCTGCATTCACCCGGCTCATCGTCGATCAAAAGCTTCGATTTACAAATGGCCAACTGGCGCATTGAAAGTCTCGGTCGCGACTCAGACTCGGCGTCGGACGAAGAATTTTTCGACTGCCAAGGTTTGTTTATGATTACTGAACTTCTTGCCATGCAAATCGCCCTTGGGACCATTCAATTCTTTCAGGTTCATGAAATTTAGTCTCCCTGATTCTTCAATTTCTTTATACGCATTAATGATTAAGAATTCCTCCATTATTGTTTCTTTCTTGACGCCGCATCTCCCTTCTTACCACTTGCTTCTCTTCGTCTTTTCCTTCCTATTTTTTGTATCTGTTTTCCTTCACATTCTTTCCTTCACTATATTCCATACCCTCCGGTACCACGTTCTACCTCAAATCAGTCAACCTCGAAAAGGCAAAACAAATTACACTCTCTACAAAAATCTGAAGCATACAAATGATAGCAAACATGTTGGGGGAGATCGTAGTACCGGGTGGTCGTCCATATTGAGTGAGCGTCTTTGAACAGTGTACAATGTTGATTAGCCATTCAGAACCCTGTACAAATAGGCTGGTCAATGGAGGCAGGTTTATACAAGTGAGGTAGAAAAATTAGTAACAAAGTGATCTCTGCGGAAATGAGTACTCAATAGGGTCCTTATTAACCCCTCAAAAATCGCACTTTGTCGCATTGGTGGAACTTGGAAAAAAATGGCCGCCATCTTGATTTTTTTCGAATTTATTAAATATTTCGTAAAGTATACATTATATCAAAAAAAAACTCAAGAGACTTTTTTTATGGAGAATCAAAAGTTACCTATGATAAAAAAAAGTTTAAGTCTATTGATCAAAAAACAAAAATGTTATTGAAATTTATATGATTTGGGTAATTATGTGTCGAGACTTAGATGTATTTCAAGAACTTAATGCAGATATAGCAGTTTTAATTAAATCAGGACTTAAAATTATTTTAAATCTGTACCGGTGTCCAAAGAAGATTCATGATATTAACCAGTTACGTCACACACTATACAGGGTGGTGACTTGCGTAACGCATCATAGGGATTTCAATGTAAAATTCATAACATGCGATTATTGGCTCCCCAAATTATTTTAGAGCAAAAATGTATTAAGTTTTTTTGTAGGAAAAATTTTTCTACGGCAATCAACCGTATTAGTTTTCAATTTTTTGCATAATAAAGACGGAAAATTGGAAAATTAAAACCTCCATCTTTTTCAATAATCTGTGATGCCATGGAATTTTATAATAGAAAAACTACGCCAATATCCGTCATGCCATGGAATGTCTGGTATAAAACAAATCAAATTCTATCAAAAAGTATTATATTTAGAACAGCGAATTCAACATAAAGAAAGTCCAAATTACTAAAAACGGTTTTCTAATATAACAATTTACAATAAATGTTCGAATAAGTCACCATTAACTGCAAGACAGTAACCAAGTCGATCATAAAATCCATTTCGAACTGCTGCTAATTGATAACTGGATATCTTTTTGTTTTAGAAAATTCCATGGCATCGCAGATTGTGGGTTTTATTTTTCCAATTTTCCGTCTTTATCTGAAAAAAATTGAAAACTAATACGGTTGATTGGCGTAAAAACATGTTTTCTACAAAAAAGCTTAATACATTTTTGCTCTAAAATAATTTGGGGAGCCAATCATCGCATGTTATGAATTTTACATTTAAATCCCAATGATGCGTTACGCAAGTCACCACCCTGTATATGCGAATGACTTCAAGGCAAAGCTTAAATTCAGAATTGTGTTTAGCCTCACTACCACCAACCGAAGAAGCTGCCAAACAGCACATTATCTTTTTTTTTTATTGATGTATTGCTCCATGTGAATTATTGATATATTTACCTAATGTAGCAGGCTAGTAGAGGGAATCAAATAATTGAATGTTTTTATTTTCTTTGGGTTATCGATTTCGAAGCTCACTTCATCATCAGACCTTGTTAAAATATATAAACGACTCTAGTGAGCCGATAACCTAAAGAAAATAAAAACATTCAATTATTTGCCTCCCTCCGGTACAGATTTAAAATAATTTTAAGTCTTGATTTAATTAAAACTGCTATATCTGCATTAAGTTTTTGAAATACGTACATCTAAGTCTCGACACAGATGTGAATAATTACCCAATTATTGAGTATTTTACTTTAAAATCCTTATTTTCAAAATTAGGCATACAAAACAGTTTTAACTAATTCAAATATTTACCAAATTTTTAAAAAATTCATATTGCCAAATCATATAAATTTCAATAACTTTTTTGATTTTTGATCAATAGACTTAAACTTTGATTCTCCATAAAAAAAGTCTCTTGAGTTTTTTTGATATAATGTATACCTACTTTACGAAATATTCAATAAATTCGAAAAAATTCAAGATGGCGGCCATTTTTTTCCAAGATCCACCATTACGACAAAGTGCGATTTTTGAGGGGTTAATAAGGACCCTATTGAGTACTCATTTCCGCAGAGATCACTTTGTTACTAATTTTTTCTACCTTAACCACCTATTTTGACTAGCCTAAAAACAAAACTTTGTTTGGTCACGAAACTTTTGTTTTCTCTTGTTTTTGGTCGCCAACTCATTATTTTGCAAGAACCAGACGAGAAATTTGTATACGTTTTTCACAGATGTAGGAGAATCTTCACTTGCCAAATGGAGCTCGTTGGACTTGTTGACCGAGGAGGAACTCGACGCGACCTCGCCTAATGTCGCTGGCGACAGGCACGGAGGTCAGTCGAACACGACTCTCGGTGACCTTTTGTTAATTCGGCGCGTTTCAGACGATAGCATTTTTTCTCCTGCATTTCTGCAGCGCGTCGCGAGCGAGAGGGGCAATCGGACAGCTTTGCAGAGAGGAAAGGGAAGCTCGTTGGACACGTCCTGTCCGGATTCGCCGTGCGCTTCTCCCGCTCACTTGCCCTGTAGCACTACGGTTTTGCTGCTGGTGATGCACGCCGGAAGCGTTTTGGGTAAATAATCCGTTTTGTGATGGTCCGATGCTATGTGTGGTTGTAGATGCGAACGTTGATCTAACTGCGAAAAAGTCAGATGTAGCAACATTCCGGGGCGCGTTCGAGTCGGTCATGCGTCAACATTACCCTACGCTTGTGGGTCATATTTCTGTGCGAGTAGTGTCTTGTCCTTCGATATGTACCGAAAGTTTGGGCATTTTATCGAGTCTCAGTCCGTATAGCTTCGACGTTTCGCCGTCGAGCACCGATATCCCTCCAGTAACCCACGATTCCATTCCAATTGGAGCGATACCGCTACTGGCGAGCTCGACTCCGGATTACCAGGAGGCGGTTACGCGGACCGTTAACGGTGCAAATATGGTGTATCAAGAGTTCTTGAAGAGCGAGGAAGGTTCGGGCTTCACCGGGCAGGTGTGCCTGGTTGCGGATTCAGTGGGGTCGGTTTTGACTTATGACGCACTTTGTCGGCCGACGCGTTACCAGTCCAGGCACGGCAGCGAAAATAGCATTCTCGACAGCGACATCTTGGTGATAAAAGGTGAGTTATCCGAAACACTTTCTTTACTCACTCGAACTGTACCACAGACGAGGTGCAAGTAAACGAATCTGGGCACTTAACGGCACCGTCTCCACGTCGCAGATCCTCATCAACGAGCGACCAGTCTAGCTTACCCAAATTCGAATTTGACGTATCAGACTTTTTCATGTTCGGGAGCCCATTGGCCCTCGTCCTTGCCTACCGAAAGATGTCGTCCGCCGACGAGAAAAACAGTAAGCGAACGCCTCGCCTTTGCTCGCTACAGAAAAATTGCAGGTAACATCAACCGTCCCAACTGCGTTCAGGTGTACAACCTTTTTCATCCTACCGATCCGGTCGCCGCACGCTTGGAACCGCTCCTATCCGCAAGGTTCTCAATTATGCCGCCTATAAATGTCGCTCGCTACGCCAAGTATCCATTGGGGGACGGACAACCATATCATTTACGTAAGTTTTTTACATTATTTCCGGCGGCGGCGGTGTCATTTTTCGGTTCTTGTAGTCGAGGTACTTCAGTCAAATCCGCAGATGTTTAATGACTCGTTGGGTGCGCAACCCAGACGATTGTCAGAAGTATCTATACAAAGTACCATTTCGGGGATTATCGATACTATTCCTTTACAGGCTGTTAACGCTTGTAAGTAGTTAATGTACCGTGTAGATTTTCGTGACTCTAGTTTGTGTGCTGTTTGTTTTTTATTTCTTTAATCGTGATGGATTGCTTGCATATCCAGCATGCTAGACCCGGTGTTGTGATTGTACATGTGTTCGGTTTATTTGATACATCTTAGACTCGACCATTGTGTATAGTCAATGACTCGATCAAAGGACGGTCATCCTCGGGTCCGTTAACTTGCCTTCCCCCCCCCACTGAGAGATTTGCGCTCATATGCGCCACCGATAAAAACTCTTGCGCCATTATCGTTTTTTAGAAATCCGAAAAAACATTGGGGGGGGGGGTGAACGTAGCCCCCCCCCCCGTACGTATTTTGTCGCTTGTAACTAGGTCACCTGATACATTTGGTTATGCGCTCAATTGCGCCACTTGAATTAAAGCTAGCGCCATTACGGTTAAGCCATAAAAAATTTTTAAAAAGTGGGGGGGGGCTAATTCAATTTTTTCAAAAGTTATGTTTTTTAACATGCTTTTTCTACTACAACGTACCTTTTGTCATGCGCTAAAATGCGCCGTAAACATAAACGTTTGCGCCATTATAGTTTTTGAGAACCTATAATAGAAGTATAACGCTATTCATTTTAAGAAGGTAGCTGTAGAAAGCATAGGGACAGTTTAACCTTCACTGTGATTGGTTAAAACACGAGTCACTATTACCCTGAAAAATAAAACGAGTGACGAATTCTGTCTGTAAGAAGTTTCAATTGCGAACTAAACTGTCGAACTGTCATTAGCTGTCAATTTCAAAGATCCAAGCGTGATATCGTTTGATTTATAATTATATTTTCCAAATTTTGTGCCGTTTTATATTTTTCCTGTGTGTGTCGATCTTCAAACACACCGCCATCTGCTACCTTTTTATAATGAACAGTATATACAGTGTGTCCCAGATCGCGTGGGATTTCATGGGTAACTTTGTTATTATTAAAGATAGAGAATTGGTTAAATGGGCAATGTTTTGCAGGTTTGGATGCTTATTTAAAATTTCCTTATGGAAATTCAAAATGTCGCATAGGTTCGACGTAAATTCAAAAAAAATAAAATTGGTCATTTCCTTGAATGTCTTATTTCATCGAACATATAAGAGATATAAAAAAAGTTTTATATAAAAGTGACTGTCTTTGATAATTTAGAATTGATGTCAAAAAAAATTCAAGATGGCAACTTTTGAGGAACATTTACCAACTTCCTAAAGTTAAATGGGCGCCATATTGGATTTTTTAGATTACTTGATAGATTTTTTAATTCTCTTTTCAACGAGCCATCATAACATAAGATTGAAAATAAGATACCAGTCAAGTAGTCTGTGACGAATAAAAAAAAACAAAACAAAATCTATTCGAGGCAACAAAACAATGAAAATAATTACACCAGATGCAACTTAACTTTTTTTAAGTACACTAAATGAAAGCTCTATTCATTCTCTATGCACTGATAAAAATGTGTTGCTATGACTACAACCGTTTTCAAGTAATCAATTATTAAAGTACCATCTGCATCCGCCATTTCTTTTCTTAAAGTCAAAATAATTTAAAAACCATAAATGGTAGATATCGACATATCAAAAGAACTGAAATTTCACGTAGAATCCAAAAATGTAATAAAAAAAGAGAAAAAAATAACGAAGTTACTAGGGACTTCCGCTATTTCCGGAAGTGCGTCCATTTTGAAAATATTGTACATCGAGTCGGCCTTCGGAGTAACTCCTAAGTACAATTTTTTAAAAACCTACCTATTTTACTTTCCCAGAAACGTTTAACTAAAGCTCCCAAAAAAACACCCTGTATAGTGTTTCTGAAACACTATAATGGCGCAATAATTTATGTTTACGGTGCATTTTAGCGCATGATGAAAGGTACGATGTAGTAGAAAAAACATGTTAAAAAACGTAACTTTTGAAAACGTTAAGTTAGCCCCCCCCCACTTTTTAAAATTTTTTTATGGCTTAACCGTAATGGCGCTAGCTTTAATTCAAGTGGCGCAATTGAGCGCATAACCAAATGTATCAGGTGACCTAGTTACAAGCGACAAAATACGTACTGGGGGGGCTACGTTCACTTGGCCCCCCCCAAATCTTTTTTCGGATTTCTAAAAAACGATAATGGCGCAAGAGTTATTATCGGTGGCGCATATGAGCGCATTAATTTTAAAATAATACGACTATCAAATCTCTCAGAAGGGGGGCCTAGTTAACGGACCCGTCACCCTCTTCCCTGCATCTCCACTAACTTGGAGGATCGTCACATTGTACGGTTTTGATTGTTAATTTTTGTGAATTTGCTTTTGTACCGACGCATTCGTTCTTTTAGTACAGCAAAAATGGTGGGGCGGCAAGCGATTAGATTATGCCCTGTATTGCCCCGAAGGCCTATCGAACTTTCCGACGAACGCCCTGCCGCACCTGTTCCACGCGAGCTACTGGGAAAGCTACGACGTCATCGCGTTCATCCTGAGGCAGGTGGCGCGTCAGGAGCTCGCGCCGATCACCGGCGTCGACGATCGCGAATTCTGCTTCAGGCCCGGACAGCCGAGGGAGAAGTGGATTAGGAAACGCACCTCCGTTAAATTGAAGGTAAGCGACGTTTCGATTGGCGAGTTTTTTTCCGATCGCGTTCTCGGTAGAATGTCGCGGCGAACCATCGCGCCAATGACGTGATCGTGCGAGAGGGGGCGTCCCAGACGTTAATTGCCCGGTTTATGTATGGACCTATTGACATGATCACGCTGGCTGGCGAGAAGGTGGACATACACATTATGAAGGATACGCCGGGAGGTGAATGGGTACAGCTCTCCACTGAGATTACCGACAAGACTGGTAGGATTACATATACGATCCCCGACGACAAGTCTTTAGGCTACGGTTTGTACCCGATAAAAGTGAGACTGTCTTTTGTTTACATGTGAATGGTGATATTGTACGGTTTTAGATGGTCGTAAGAGGTGATCACACTTCCGTTGATTTCTTTCTGGCGGTTGTTCCGCCTAAGACTGAATGCGTTGTCTTTAGCATTGACGGTTCGTTTACTGCGAGTATGTCTGTGACTGGACGCGATCCGAAAGTACGGGCCGGAGCTGTCGATGTTGTCAGGTTTGCGTGCACACCATCACGGTCTGTTTGGAATATCGATTGCGTTGTAGGCATTGGCAGGAGCTGGGGTATCTTATAATTTACATCACAGGTCGGCCGGATATGCAACAGCAGAAGGTGGTTTCGTGGCTGTCCCAGCATAACTTCCCCCACGGTTTGGTGTCTTTCGCGGACGGCTTGTCGACTGACCCCCTGGGGCACAAAGCAGCCTACTTGAACAATTTGGTGCAGGTATGTTGAACCGGACCAACTTTTCGTATAGAATTACGTTGCAGAACCACGGAGTGACAATTCACTCAGCGTACGGCAGCAGTAAAGACATAAGCGTTTATACATCGGTAGGTCTCAGATCGAAACAAATCTACATAGTGGGGAAAGCGTCCAAGAAGCAGAATAACCAAGCGACTTTGTTAACGGAGGGGTACGCGGCCCATCTTTCTATGCTGATGGCGCATGGGGGGTCGCGACCTGCGCAGGGCAATGCGCGTATGGTAATTCCAAGGGAGTACTTTGGTCTGCCCGGTCAAAGTTACTCGCGACGAAGAAGGTAAGGTTTTATTAAGCTGCATTTTTCCTAGGGTGTGATTGATTTAAGAGGATTCTTGCTACGTTTTTGTTTGGTCTATAACTTTTGATTGAGAAGTCTAATCGAAAAAGTACGAATTGTTTTGGATTCTACGCACCAAAATTAATAAGAAAAAGTGTTTTCCCGAGAAATTTTGGTGCAGTCGATTTTTGGTAAAAAAGGAAGGTAATACACTGCCTTTTTTGGGCCCCGAAAAAAAAATTGTCTCAGATCGATCCGGAAAAAAAATTTTCTTATAGAATGTGGCCTGTAGAATCCATAATTTCAAACAGTTCCAAGATTGGGCTACTAGTTCAAAAGTTACAGCCCTTTGAAATTTTTTTCGAAATTGGTTTCTAGTCTATAACTTTTGATTGAGAAGTCTGATCGAAAAAGTACGAATTGATTTGGATTCTACGCACCCAAATTAATAAGAAAAAGTGTTCCCGAGAAATTTTGGTCCAGTCGATTTTTGGTAAAAAAGGAAGGTTATACACTGCCTTTTTTTGAGCCGCGAAAAAAAAATTGTCTCAGATCGACCCGGAAAAAAAATTTTCTTATAGAATGTGGCCTGTAGAATCCATAATTTCAAACAGTTCCAAGATTGGGCTACTAGTTCAAAAGTTACAGCCCTTTGAATTTTTTTTCGAAATTGGTTTCTAGTCTATAACTTTTGATTGAGAAGTCTGATCGAAAAAGTACGAATTGATTTGGTTTCTACGCACCCAAATTAATAAGAAAAAGTGTTTTCCCGAGAAATTTTGGTGCAGTCGATTTTTGGTAAAAAAAATTTTCTTATAGAATGTGGCCTGTAGAATCCATAATTTCAAACAGTTCCAAGATTGGGCTACTAGTTCAAAAGTAACGTTTAAATTATATGACTCGTTTTGCGTTTGGTATCAAACAGTTCTTTACGGCACTTGGTGTTAGTAACGATCCCCTTGAGTGAGGTTGTTGTCACCCTCGAAGAATCCCATTAGCCCAATCACACTAATAATAGAATTTTCTTTTTCCTAATGAAACGCCCGCTTTTGTGATTTACGTACATGTCGCAAAGCATGATTAATTTTGACTATCTACGATAGTGGATAGTTCAGTTTTGTTTGTAGTGGTGTACCTGTTTCAGCAATGACACGGGGATGTCTTCCCCAGCCCGAGGCAGTGGCTTTCTGAAGCGCAAGGTTTACATAACTCACGTGTAGCATTCGCTAGTAACCCTAACTAGTAACGGTAACTATATGTTATCTTATTGCACAGTTACATAGAAGTGATCGAATTAATTTTAGCAATACTGCAGCTTGTTTGTTCGCTTACGACTAACTTTTGTATTGGAAATTGTCCCATTTCTCGCAGGTCTAGATTGTTAAAGAAATTGTTGATGTTTAAATTCTTCAAATCACAAGAGACGCGGTGTGGAAATTGTCCATCAATCACGACAACCCTTCATTATTAACGTGTTCAATCGGGTAAGGCTGCGGTACAGTTATTATTACTAAAAATCACGTCTATGTGAGCAAAGGTGTTAACGCACAACCTTTTCTTTTCTTACTTATTTATCACATTCGCAATAACTCTCGTGCAATAACTAACAGTCACACGTTCAGTTCATTTTGAATTTTTACCGGCAGACTATGTGAAGGATTTATTAACCTTCAGCTTACCTCTTGTGTACAACATTCAAAATGATTCATACCGGGCGTGTTTCACAACCTCGGGTCCTTCCACCATTGCTTTTACAGAACTTGTTTACAATGGCTTGGGCTTCATTGTGCAGCGCATGCGTAAATGTTTTTAGAAACACAAAGATCAAATCAAAGTAGTACGGTTTAATCGCTGTTGCGGTGTAAATCGTTCAACAATGTGCTTTGCTTTTTGGCTGGTTGTAACAAAATTTCTGATCGATGATGTGGGATTGGGAGACGTCTAATCTCTCATTTTCAAAATGTTACGTGATTGTCAACTTTTCTCCTTATATCTCAGAAACAAAAGTGCTAGATTGATTTTGTTTGTGGTTTCACAAAAGTGGCACAGGGTCGCGAAAAATCGCAAGCTTAACTATCATTAAAAACAGCTGATAATATAATTTCGATATAGGTCGCTGGAGCAAATATATGGTGATGTCACCAATTTAAGTAGGTACGTCAAATTCTATAGAAAAGACTCGCCCCTTTGCAATAACTGAGATATCTACCCACTCAATACCGCAGGTTCCTATTTCTGTACCCCATAGCTTTAATTGTATGCTAGTGAGGAGTCGTGGATACCATCATACAAAAGTCACAGGTTCATCTAAAATGTATACACGAATTTTTAGACCTCGAAGTGTAAGTCACAATTGCTCAGGTCCCACAAGCCAGCAGAGCCATTTTAGAAAATGAAGGACGAAATACATCAGAATTATAGGCCCTTTTTGGACACTTGAACAAAATTTCAGGCGGCATCCTTTAAACAAAAAAACTATCATCCAGATCAGTTTGATTTTGCCTCTCTCGGAGATGTAGTGGATAAATAAAAATTATTTATTTATTGTCTATTTATTGTCTCTCTTGTTCTGGGCCCTCAATGGGCTTTCGCCCAATTAATATATTTATTTAAACTCTTAACTTATATTTCAAAAATCCGATACAACTGAATACCAAACGATCCTCGAGATCTTCACACATACATCATTTTTACAATACACCCTAAGGGGTTGATTCTGTCCCACCTGATCAGCATAGCTTGTAACACAAATTTTTTGAAATGGAATTAGTTTTACTTTTATTTGAGGTGCCTGAATACAACATTTCATTTAAATACCTTAACAAATAAAAGAAAACCGACTGCGCATGCGCAAAAGAAATTTTCTGATTTGGCATTAGTTTCACTTTTATTCGAGGTGCCTAGATACAGAATTTCATTTAAATATATTAACAAATAAAAAATTAGGAATGCGCAAATACAAAAGTTGTTATGCGTATGCGCAGTATTTGTTTGCATCTGCATATTTGCCTGAAGTTTAAGGAATATTTACTAACACAGAAAACCGGACATTCATATGTTCTTTGTAACAAGAGTTAGAAACCCTTTTTGGAGGTTTGCGCAGTTTTTGGTCTGTAACTTTTTGGCCCGTTGGTCTACGTAGCCGAAAAACAATTGCGAACTTTGTTATATCCTGAAGAACATGTGTATATCAATTTTTAAAGCGATCGGACGTTTCTACACAAAGTTATCGTACAGACAGACGGACAGACAGACGCACAGACAGGCAGCAATACAAAATTATAAACGATCTCAAGGTTCGTTAATATTATAATGAGACGAATAATTTTAATTTTTTTTGTACTTCTTCCCAATTCAGGAATATCGTTTCAACTTTTCTTCTCCTATAATACAAGAGACAACTCAGACACTTTTACCATTAATTTTTTTAAAACCTGAAACACAACAACTTGCTATATATTTGATTTATTTGTAAAAGAAAATTCAAATTTCAAATACCTACTTGACAGATGTCTCCAAACAGGTGGACCAATCCCTAACATTAAAGTTACTAGAATCTGGTAACTTCCGCAATTTTTGGGCAAAAAACATGCGTTCTCTCTCTAACACACGGGCCCAATGGATTGCGGTACTTTCTGTGACTCATAATGGATCTACCGTGACTGTATACCTACTGTATAGAGGCAGTTTGGTCATACTTTGGTGTTGTTTTTTTATTGGTAGGTGGGATATCCGCCATATTTTAACCAAATAAATCGAGTTGGCGGAAATTAACTTGGAATTCAAGGTGGTCAAGTCACAAACAGTTGTGGAAATAATATTGTAACCATAGAAAAATGCCAAGATCTACCAATTCAATTAAACCGATCAGCTCAATGAAGAATATGGGAAAAACATGGCGGATATAGAGCATATGACCACACTGTCTTTATACAGTCACTGTTAATGGATCGATATTAATTACAAGGCAAAAATTTTGCGCATGCGCATAGCGTATCGCACATGTGATCCGCTAGCTTCTTCTTTAGCCAGCAAAATCATAGTTTTTTTCTTTAAAGGATGCCGCCTGAAAATTTGTTCAAGTGTCTAAAAAAGGGCCTATAATTCTGATGTATTTCGTCCTTCATTTTTCTAAAATGGCTCTGCTGGCTTGTGGGACCTCAATTGCTCCACTAAAAGGTGCGAACTAAAAGACTTCCTCATTGTAATAAAGTTATACTCCACAATGACCCTAAGCTTTTCCCATCAATGAAGCACAGCAAGCCGCAGTATGTAGATTTTCCCTTCTCCGAGTACCTAGCGGTTAATTGTACCCAAAAACATTAGCACCTATCAGAAGTTTTGTTCGCTGAACCGCTTTTTTACTAAATTTGGTTTGTACCACAACTTCATTAATCCTTGTATTAATTTGTAGCAGCAAAACTCCAAAAAAAGGTACCGCATACCCAATTGCAGGCGAAGGAGGACTAGTCGAACGATCCTTAAGCACACGTCGGTGCCAGCTCTCTCGGCCCATGCTCGCCACAATTGGCAATCATGCCTCGGTCACGAGTAGTACGGGACCTGGGTGACCTTCGATCTCTTAAAAAATTCGTATCATTAGTACAATTGAATATGAAATTTGCCGTTACGCTTCTCGAGTGCTTAACTGTACATAGTGTTCATGCTATCAACAAACACACTGTTTGGCAAAGGGAAAGAGATGCATTACGTCACCACCAGGTTTATGTGCAAACTTTGTTTTTAAACTATTAGGATCTAGAATCTATTTGAGTCTCAATTTTGTAAGATATTTGTTAAAAAAGAGTTGATAATAATCAAAAGATATTTATGGGGTTTGTACATAAATAGTCTTCACAAGAAAAACCGGAAAATTGTTCATTATATAGAAAATGTATATTTTTATATAATTATTACTACCTACCTGCTTTGAAGTACATAATCGCTTACTAGGTATCTTTATATACTTACCTCGGGAGGGAAGATCTTGAATGTTTGCTTATTTTTAAAAAAAAAATAATTGTGACAACTTGTGCAAATCTCTTTATGGCTTGAATTAGATGTAGATTCAATTTTCTTAAATGTTATCCAGTGTTGCACATAGATTAGTGCATATCACCGCTGTGGGGAGAAAATCATTACTTCGTTCTTGGAAATACTGGAGAGTCCATTACTCTAACCCCTTCTTAAACATGTCATTGACACATTCAAATGGGCCAACTATCATAAACGTTATCGCGACTAGAGGTTTGCAAAGTTTTATTATTATTCCTGTACTAATACTCTTATTAACTAATTTAACGCGACTAGTTGGTGTGTATTTATGTTAAACGTACAATTAGACCCGTTCATTGTCATTACAAAACATTCCATCTATTAATCGACGAAATTCATTGGATTGTGCTTTATATAAATGTGCGTTACTGTTAGATTGTAGCTTGAAGTATTTTCTTAACTATACAGTTTTGTTATACCGTTCTTGTATTTTTCTAATTGTACAGGCAACATTCCCGTCTATAGTTAGTATGTATATATGTATAATTGTTATAATAGAAAAGATATGTGGCAGTGGTGCAAAGACAGTATTAATTGATTAAATTTAAAAAAAAAAGTCGGGTTGATTGTGATATTTAAAGCAATAGTGGTGCATAGAGGTTTATTGCTGCTACATTTCTTTATTACATTGAAATACTGCGCATTTGACATGTGATATGTTATGTTTCTTGATCTATAGAATGTATTGTTCGTTATAAACATTGCAATTGTTGAGTGTATAAAAAACATGTTGTAAAAGTGTATTCGGTATAGTTTCGTATAATCCTTGCAATCTTCCCTAGTTCTATTTATTATTAAAATTTTGTTGCCATATCTTCATAGGTTGTGAAAAGTTTATCTGTTCAACTATAAGAAAATTTGTTTACATGTATCTCTCACGTGAAATAAGAGGTAGTTAAATAAAGTTTAAGATATCAGTTCCTTTGCTTCGCCATCATCGAGTTAAGCAGCGTATACACGGAGAAGCAGAACTTCAGCAGCTGTAACATTAAGGCTAGTGCCTGGAAAATTAACCGCCACGTTACCTACCTTCATGTAGCTGGATAGACTTAGCACGCCGAATCCACCGAGAGTGATCGTAATGGGGCGTTGAGCTCTGGCCATAATTAATACGAGGGACTTTTGTACTCGCCTCTCATATGCGCCCAGATGCCATCCACATTCATAAACTGTATCCGAAAACGCCATGCTCTGCAATAATTTTAACTGTCAATAAAAATTAAGCTTCACTCTTGTATCCATTTTGTAAATATAAGCTTGTAGAAAGAAATATTGTGGTTGGTTAAACTCATTGGGACATTTTGATGCTAATCCTACAAAACTCTTATGGATTTTTCTTGTCTATTGAGAAATTGAGGGCCTTGAAGAAGAGTGCTTGATTGTAGACGAACTCTAGATAGATTAGGTGAGTCTAATAGGGTAAGTTTGATCTGGATACCAGCGCACTGCGGAATTGGGAGTAACAAAAGGATGGACGAGCTGTGGTGGGTTCTTCGTCAGGGCGACGATTAAAGAGTGGGTGATCAGTCAATTCCAGGCTCAGTGGCAACAAGCAGTGGCGCACTGGCACGGGGGGCGGGTGGCGATTGCCACCTGGCCTGTAGATCATAATGGCCCGTTGGAAATTTATAAGTATGTGCTGTATTTAGTTTCTTGCACTACTAATAAATTATTAACACGTTTCTCTAATTGGGGTTGATGTTAGGTTGTTAAAAAAAAAAGGAGTACTTTAAAATGTTTTTGTGGTGCACCTCAGAGCTACCCCCCCTCCCCCGGCGCCTTCATTACTACACTAATACTTTAATGGCTCGTAAGTACCCAGTCCGCCCCTGTGTATAACCTTCCTTTTTTACCAAAAATCGACTACACCAAAATTTCTCGGGAAAACACTTTTTCTTCTCAATCAAAAGTTATAGACTAGAAAAAAATTCAAAGGGCTGTAACTTTTGAACTAGTAGCCCAATCTTGGAACTGTTTGAAATTATGGATTCCACAGGCCACATTCTATAAGAAAATTCCCCCCCCCCCCTCAGCGCCACCATCATTACTACACTAATACTTTAATGGCCCGTAACCTATGCAATTCCACCTGGCCCGCAGTTACCCAGTCCGCCCCTGGCAACAAGCAATCGCATCAAGGCAGTCCAGGGCGGAAAATTGAAAAAATAGACGAGCTTACTCGGCGAGAAGAGCGCTAACTGTGGAGAACGGCACCCGATAAAGAAGGAGAGTCGGTATAACATCCAATCCCGTACTTACTTCCAGTATAAGCTCGTTTCCAATAAAGCAGTACATAAAGATTTGCCCCATATGACCACAAAAGTAAGTCAATGGTCGCCCAATTTCCGTTCGAACGATGGTCTAAAACACCAAAATGAATATTTGCCATGCTAACCGGAAAATACCGTACCAGCAGAAACCCTGATAAGCAGACGGTACCAATTGTACCAATATACAGCATTAGGATGAAGACCGTCAGCATATTCTCTAAATTTTTGGCCGTTCTACAAGAAGATTTGCAATTAGAAAAAAACGCACTGCGAAACTTACTCAATTAACAGGTGGTGATGCTTGATGCACTTTAAAACAACATTCCATGCCTCCGTATTGTCTTCGGTGCGGTTGAATCCGCTTCGAGCCACCCTCGCGAAGTTCCTCTTCAAGTACTCCCTCAGGAGGCGAAATTGAGCTACGCACGTCCAAATCAGACTAACAAAAAACAGGTCGAAAGCGCATATGTTAACGGCGAGTTCGGCGCTCAAAGCGCCCTGCCATACGTACACCATCTCGTAAAACGGACTTTGTAAGTAGGGGAATGTGAATTTGGACGGAAGCGGAGTGGCGTGCACCTGGAATGGGACCGTCAAGCACTGGGAGGCCCAGAAAAGTGCCGATATTGTGTAGATCCCAACCGAAACGAGCACGATCCAGCTTCTTCTCCTTAGCAACCTATCCACTTCGTCCCCGACCATATCAGAGGGCCAAAACTGATGGTAGATAGTCGACAAGATGCGTGCGATCTTCTTCGCCAAAATTGTGCTGATCACCCTCCGGCTGATAGTCTACAGGGAAATTTTACAAACTCACTAAAGTAAACTTACCTCTAATACAACAATTAACCCGGCGATACCATCGGCGGCGGTTGTCAGATCGGTTTCCTTGTCGAAAATGAAACTGATCTGTCCCGTTAAGATGTAAATGTAACTAGTAACAACAATGATACTCAGAATTAACGTGAACTTGTTTTGCCTTTCAGCCCACACACTGAGGCTATCCAGAATAATTTTAATAGGCACGAAGAGCCACTTAACGCCATCGTGCCAGATGTGCTTGGGCAATTTTTCTGTATTGACCACCTGAATGTCGGACATAATTTAAAGTGCGTCACCTTATGGAGGGTTTCTCCCTTAAGTAGATTTATGGTTTTTAAAAAAACTATTTAAGTATTCACCTTAATTACAGGGTGAGTTAATTATAGGTATAAGTGCCACATACTGCAGATGCGAGAGATCTTCAAAGGGAATTTCGTAGGTAGTTATTTTAATATTTACAAGGTCCGCTAGTGTCTTCGATTAATTAATAAATATTCCCACTAGGCATGCAATGTGATGTGACTAAAATGTAATCTTGATGACTATAAATTTTTTGGATTCTACAGGCGAAAATTGATTAGAAATCCTTAATAGACGTTAGTAGTGTTTAAATTGTTTTTTAAAACCGTTTCGAAGAACCTATGAGTCTCGTAACAGCATTTAAGAGTCTTAGGCGTTGAAAAATCGAACGGCGAGGAACCTTTATAAACGGAGCAATTAGAGACGCTTTTATAGAACCTTCACTCACATTTGTGAGTCTTTAAACAAGTTTTGATAGTTGCTGATTGCTTCAAAAGGGCTTCCAAATAAGTTTACAGGATTCGGCAAGAAATGGCTTAATCACAAAATCCGAAATGGGGTGGCTTTTACGGTTTTTTCTATATATAGGTGCTTAAAAATTATAATTTTGTTGTATCTTCTGTGGGGGGTAAGTGTGTTCTTCAGAGCGTGTTTCGTTGCTTGGCCATCATGGTACTGAGAAGCGTGTATACGGAAAAACAGAATTTCAGCAGCTGCAAATTACACCTCAAGTACGTTCCACTGAAATCGTAGGTTTTACCGGTACCTTCATGTAACTTCCTAGACTCAAAACTCCAAAGCCTCCAAGGGTGATCGTGATGGGACGTTGAGCTCTTGCCATAATTAAGATGAGCGATTTGCGAACTCGGCGATCGTACGCCGTCAGATGCCAACCGCACTCGTAGACTGAATCCGCCAGCGCCAGGCTCTTGAAATCAAGAAATAGGTATTTTCAAAAGTAAAAGACAAAGGTAAGTCGTATTTTGGATCATAACATTCCTTGCGATAACATTAATTTTTGATACCGAAGTGAAATCGATGTAAGTATATGTGAGATGCATGAACGTTAGTAACACGCTCGGTGATGGCGCCCAGATGTCGCCGACCCCATATCATGCAGCTCCGTCCCTAAAGTTGTTAATTACATGGTAGATGCATGTACACTCCTCTTCTTTCTACAAGAGTTCTTCTACGGGCCCGCATTTGTTACCAGCCAACCAGCAAAAGTGAGATTAAAAGTTACCTTTTTACAAATAAATTTGCAAAAATGCGCTAAAAAGGAAACTTTAAGCGCAGAAAAATTTGTTGAGGGCGCAAAAGAGCAAATCACAACAGAAAATGATACGAGGGTGGTTGTGAGGGGCGTATTCTTGGATTTGGGGGTGTAGGAAGTATAGAAAGGAGACATTAAGCCCTGAAATAAATTCTTTAGGGCGCAGAAGGGTTAAACATGATGGAAAATGATACGAGGGTTGTTGAGGGGGGCTTATTCTTGGATTTGGTGGCATAAGAAGTCAAGAAAGGAGACTTTCAGCGCAGAAAAAATTTGTTGAGGGTGCAAAAGAGCTAATCACAACAGAAAATGATACGAGGGTGGTTGTGAGGTGCGTATCCTTGGATTTGGGGGTGTAAGAAGTATAGAAAGGAGACATTAAGCCCTGAAATAAATTCTTTAGGGCGCAGAAGGGTTAAACATGATGGAAAATGATGCGAGGGTTGTTCAGGGGTGCTTATTCTTGGATTTGGTGGCATAAGAAGTAAAGAAAGGAGACTTTGAGCGCAGAAAAAATTTGTTAAGGGCGCAAAAGAGCAAATCACAACAGAAAATGATACGAGGGTGGTTGTGAGGTGCGTATTCTTGGATTTGGGGGTGTAAGAAGTATAGAAAGGAGACATTAAGCCCTGAAATAAATTCTTTAGGGCGCAGAAGGGTTAAACATGATGGAAAATGATGCGAGGGTTGTTCAGGGGTGCTTATTCTTGGATTTGGTGGCATAAGAAGTAAAGAAAGGAGACTTTGAGCGCAGAAAAAATTTGTTAAGGGCGCAAAAGAGCAAATCACAACAGAAAATGATACGAGGGTGGTTGTGAGGTGCGTATTCTTGGATTTGGTGGAGTAAGAAGTATAGAAAGGAGACATTAAGCCTTGAAATAAATTGTTTAGAGCGCAGAAGGGTTAAACATGATTGAAAATGATGCGAGGGTTGTTGAGGGGTACTTATTCTTGGATTTGGTGGCATAAGAAGTAAAGAAAGGAGACTTTGGGCGCAGAAAAAATTTGTTAAGGGCGCAAAAGAGCTAATCACAACAGAAAATGATACGATGGGTGGTTGTGAGGTGCGTATTCTTGGATTTGGGGGTGTAGGAAGAATAGAAAGGAGACATAAAGTCCTGAAATAAATTCTTTAGGGCACAGAAGGGTTAAACATGATGGGAAATGATGCGAGGGTTGTTGAGGGGTGCTTATTCTTGGATTTGGTGGCGTAAGAAGTAAAGAAATGAGACTTTAAGCGCAGAACAAATTTGTTAAGGGCGCAAAAGAGCAAATGAAAGTGATACGAGGGTGGTTATGAGGGGCGTATTCTTGGATTTGGGGGTGTAAGAAGTATAGAAAGGAGACATTAAGCCCTGAAATAAATTCTTTAGGGCGCAGAAGGGTTAAACATGATGGAAAATGATGCGAGGGTTGTTCAGGGGTGCTTATTCTTGGATTTGGTGGCATAAGAAGTAAAGAAAGGAGACTTTGAGCGCAGAAAAAATTTGTTAAGGGCGCAAAAGAGCAAATCACAACAGAAAATGATACGAGGGTGGTTGTGAGGTGCGTATTCTTGGATTTGGTGGTGTAAGAAGTAAAGAAACGAAACTTTAAGCGCTAAAAAGGATTGTTCAGGGTGCAGAAAGGCTAATCAGGACGGAAAATGATACGAGGGTGGTTGTGAGGTGCGTATTCTTCGATTTGGGGGTGTAAGAAGTATAGAAAGGAGACATTAAGCCCTGAAATAAATTCTTTAGGGCGCAGAAGGGTTAAACATGATGGAAAATGATGCGAGGGTTGTTGAGGGGTGCTTATTTTTGGATTTGGTGGCATAAGAAGTAAAGAAAGGAGACTTTGAAGCGCAGAAAAAATTTGTTAAGGGCGCAAAAGAGCTAATCACAACATAAAATGATACGAGGGTGGTTGTGAGGTGCGTATTCTTGGATTTGGGGGTGTAGGAAGTAAAGAAAGGAGACTTTAAGCCCTTAAATAAATTCTTTAGGGCGCAGATGCAGAAGGGTTAAACATGATGGAAAATGATACGAGGGTTGTTGAAGGGTGCTTATTCTGGGATTTGGTGGCGTAAGAAGTAAAGAAAAGAGACTTTGGGCGCAGAAAAAATTTGTTAAGGGCCAAAAGAGCTAATCACAACAGAAAATGATACGAGGGTGGTTGTGAGGTGCTTATCCTTAGATTTGGTGGTGTAAGAAGTAAAGAAAGGAGACATTAAGCTCTGAAATAAATTCTTTAGGGCGCAGAAGGGTTAAACATGATGGAAACTGATGCGAGGGTTGTTGAGGGGTGCTTATTTTTGGATTTGGTGGCGTAAGAAGTAAAGAAATGAGACTTTGAGCGCAGAAAAAATTTGTTAAGGGCGCAAAAGAGCTAATCAGGACGGAAAATGATACGAGGGTGGTTGTGAGGTGCGTATTCTTGGATTTGGTGGTGTAGCAAGTATAGAAAGGAGACATTAAGCCCTGAAATAAATTCTTTAGGGCGCAGAAGGGTTAAACATGATGGAAAATGATGCGAGGGTTGTTGAGGGGTGCTTATTCTTGGATTTGGTGGCGTAAGAAGTAAAGAAACGAGACTTTAAGCGCTGAAAAGGATTGTTCAGGGCGCAGAAGGGCTAATCGGGACGGAAAATGATACGAGGGTGGTTGTGAGGTGCGTATTCTTGGATTTGGTGGTGTAGCAAGTATAGAAAGGAGACATTAAGCCCTGAAATAAATTCTTTAGGGCGCAGAAGGGTTAAACATGATGGAAAATGATGCGAGGGTTGTTGAGGGGTGCTTATTCTTGGATTTGGTGGCGTAAGAAGTAAAGAAACGAGACTTTAAGCGCTGAAAAGGATTGTTCAGGGCGCAGAAGGGCTAATCGGGACGGAAAATGATACGAGGGTGGTTGTGAGGTGCGTATTCTTGGATTTGGTGGTGTAGCAAGTATAGAAAGGAGACATTAAGCCCTGAAATAAATTCTTTAGGGCATAGACTGGTCTTAGTTGACGATAACTTTAAATGTCATTCGGAGATTGGACTACAAAGTAGAAACAAGATGGCCCTGCTAACTGAAAGTGGACTTGAGACAAGCCAATTAGGGGACAGATTATTTTAGACCAACCCCCAGAAACGGCAATGGTCCTCAAATCCAGACGCACCTGTTGAGATGCAAAGAAAACACTCACCTCTCTACTAAGTTCATTACCAATGAAGCAGTACAGAAATATTTGACTCATATGGCCGCAGAAATAAGTCAACGGTCTTCCAAACTCGGTTCGAACGATAGTCTAAAAATCAAATTGTAATTTGCACACGTCAGCATCATAATGTCATACCAGAAGGAATCCGGACAGACAGACCGTACCAACAGTGCCAAGGTAAACGATCAAAATAAATACCGTGAGCATTCCTTCTATGTTCTTCGTGGTTCTGGAAATGAAGCGTCATTTCGGCTAGCAAACGAGGAAGTTGAGACTTACTCGATTAGCAGCTGATGGTGTTTGATACACTTCACCATCAACTCCCAAGCCTGCCCGCTTGCTTCGGCCTTTACAAAATTCGCCTTCAGGTATTCCCGCAGGAGGCGAAACTGGGCGGTGCACGACCAAATTACACTCATGAAGAACCAGTCGAAGCTGCAAATGTTAATGGCCAATTCGACGCTCAAAACGCCCTCCCAGATGTAGACCATCTCGTAAAATGGACTGCTTAAGTATGGGAAGGTGAATTTGGACGGCAGCGGAGTGTCGCGCAGTTGAAACGGCACCGTCAAACACTGCGAGGACCAAAAGAGTGCCGAGGACGTGTAGCACGCGACTGCTACCAGTAGAATCCAACTTCTTCGCGTTAAGAGCCTGCTCAGTTCGGGAGTCACCAAGTCGGAGGGCCAAAACTCGAAGTACACCGTCAATAAAATTTTGGCGATTTTCTTCGCCAAAAATATGCTTATAATTCGGCGACCTGCGGTTTCAATTGCGGCAATGACTCCGGCAATAGCATCGGCGGCGGTGGACAGATCCGTGTTCTTATCCAAAATGAAGCTGATCTGGGCTGTGAATATGTACAGGTAACTGATGATAACCGCTAGACTCAATGTGAGCGTAATTTTATTTTGTCGTTCCGGCCACACGCTCAAAGCGTCCAGTATGACTTTGACGGGTACGAAGAGCCACTTAACTCCGTCGGTCCGAAGGTGTTTCGGCAATTCGGCGCGATCTGATTTCTCGTACGCTTCCATGACTCGTGTGACACGATGTCCCCTGTCTAGTGCTTTAAGTAGCCGGATTTCCCTTTGATGAAAAATTAATAGTGATTGAAAGGAAAAAGTTTGGCAGAGATTCCACATGTGAATAATCCATGCACTTTGTCTCAAATTAGTTTTCCGATAAACTATAAAAATTTATTGCCCGTCCAACTGGGTCTTTTGAAAAGATTTTCCCGTAGAGTTTGCAGCAACCTCATAATTACAATGCAGTGTCTTTCTGAAGTAGATATATCGTTTTCAATTATGTAATCTACTTTTTAGTTGACCCAAGTCGGACATATTCCAATACCGGATCGAGTATCATCAGCAAATCAATAAACCATTTACAGGGTGTCCCATTAATAATGGTCACAGGCTATATCTATGGAACCGTTAATTGCACAGCTTCGGAAAAAAAATTTGTTAACAAAAGGGGCCAAGAGAAATCGCTGGAAATTATTTTCAAGTTTCTTACTTCGCCGCTAGAGGGCGTATGATTCATGGTTAGGTAGAAAAATTACTTTTTTCCTAAAATATACCCAACAAACATGCATAAAAAATACATGCATAGTAATCTTGTATCAATTTTGCATCATTTTGGTGGAGCATAAATTGCTCTAGCTCATAAAATATGAGGAATGGGGGAAGGGGAACATCTCTTTAAGGAATTGATTGTAACTTCGGATTAGGTTAACAGATTTTCACAAAATAGATCTTGTTGGAAGGAGCTCTCTTCGCGGAATCAGATTTTATTAAATAGAGTCTTTTTAGTAAATGTGATGAGTGGTAAGAGGGCGCGACGTGACATTAACATAAACTTTGCAGGTTTTTTTGGTAATTTCAAATGGAATGATATTATATTATTATATGATATTATCAAATAAGGTGAAATAGTGAGAATATCAGTGAAAACCGGATTTTGATATCTGTTTTCTAACCATAGATCTGGCGAACATACGAATACATTCACACATTTTAATTGCAATATTGATGCTCATTCAAGTTGGCTTTGAAACAAAAGAAAACAGAACAAAAGAAAGTTTATCAGACGTATTCGTGCGAATTATTACCACGATGGGTGCTCGGCACATTTCTTGGTAAGCGAGAGTCGAGGCGAGAGTGTTTGAATTTGAGTTATCCTGGCAAATGGATAGAAAGAGGAAGTATTTTTTCACTCGACTTAACTTGCTTAGACTTAAATTTGTTTGAAAGGATAAAAGACGCACAGTCTTTCTAACAAGGCCAACTACAAGAAACGATATGGTGACGAGAATTAGAAATGTAATTCATAGTCATGGCTGAAGTTAAAGCAACTGTCTGTGTAGAGAGAGCTACACAGCAGAGACTCGTCTTTGTGTCGAAAATAATGGCAGACATTGAACATTTACGTTAATTATAATTATTATTTCTTTTATTATTTACTTAATTCATATTTCTCTGATTTAAAGTTTGAATCATTTTTTTGTTGCTCATAATTAAAAAACTTAGATCGAGTGTTAATTTTGAACTGCCATCGCCTCATTCACTTTGACATAATTATCGGTTGCTTGGATGAATATAAATATTGCAATTAAAATTTGTGAATGTTCGTATTTTCCCCATATCTCTGCTTAGAAAACAGATATCAAAATGCGGTTTTCACTGATATTCTCACATTTTCATCTTATTTGATAATATAATATAATAATTATATCGTTCCATTTGAAATTTTAAAAAAAACTTGCAAAGTTTATGTTAATGTCACATCGCGCCCTCTACCACTCATCACGTTTACTAAATAGACTCTCTTCATGTAAAATCTGATTCCACGAAGAGAGCTCTTTCCAACAAGACCTATTATGTGAAAATCTGCTAACCTAATCCGAAGTTACAAGCAATTCCTAAAGAGATGTTCCCCTTCCCCACTCCTCATATTTTATGAGCTAGAGCAATTTGCGCTCCATCAAAATGATGCAAAATTGATACAAGATTACTATGCATGTATTTTTTATGCATGTTTGTTGGGTATATTTTAGGAAAAAAGTCATTTGTCTACTTAACCATGAATCATACGCCCTCTAGCGGCGAAGTAAGAAACTTGAAAATAATTTCCAGTGATTTCTCTTGGCCCCTTTTGTTAACAAATTTTTTTCCCCGAAGCTGTGCAATTAACGGTTCCATAGATATGGCCTGTGACCATTATTAATGTGACACCCTGTACACGCCGCCGTTCCTTTTGTTTTCTTATTGATTTGCATAGTTTTTTTAAGTTCTTCAGATAGTTTGACTTTTTCGAACCGTTCCATTACTTTCGGATTTCTCAGTTTACATATGGATTCTTAAATTTATTTGATTTTGTAATCTCTTCAGTTTCTTCAAAATTCACTCGAACATCTATACATCACGAGGGTACTCAGGGGTTAACGTTTTGCTAGAGAACAAAACTTAAAACCTGGGGATCTGGGGGGTATAAGGAGATGATCCTTTTTCTACAATCATTCGTATACTCAGACGAATGAAATATTACGTACACTTTCTTGTATTCGGGCTTTTAACTTTGATCCAAAATCTGTCACTACAAATTGTTTTAATTTTCTTCTTTGAACTCTTCAATTCTGCGGAGGATTTTGTAATTTTGTAATTTTTTTGGGTCTATCAATTTTGAAAAAAAAGCAAACAATTCTTTGTCGTTCTTTTTCGTTAATTAGTGCAAACGTAAACTACCATTCGATGATAGATTGCAGTAGATTTATAAACAACTCCTTACAGTGCCAATATGTTTCCTAGCAACGATTCGAGATCAATATTTCCACTGAATCGTCCCCAGATGGTAACCCGCTGTAACTATGACTGTAAAGACTTCCAAGAAGTTCGTCCCCCACATAAATCAATCCCAGTTATACTTTTTGCACCGATTTGCTTACTCAATTTTCTTATTTTGCTCGGAATCCTCGACTTAAAATAATTATTACATAACGATAGGTCAATAACGAAATTGTCATTGTTTATGTAACTTGTAGGTACAACTTCCTGCGTTTCACGTTCAGTGTACTTTTTATACGCTTGACGTTCGGTTTGTTAACTTTTGTGTCTTTTGTATAATTAATGTTTTAAAGTACGTAGGTAATTTATAAAACTTCGGTGTTTATGCAAAAGATCTGAAAGTTCTAAAGTACGAACAAAATCGGCACATTTCTATCTAGCACGTGACGTTACAATAACTTAAGGCAATATGGTAAGTGCTAAACTTAATCATTGAATAATACTCAATGTAATTCTATTATTTCAAATATTGGTAATTGGTAAGAGACTATGACAATATTACCTAAGTATTATATGGGGAAGGACGAGGGTACGATGCTTACGAAGTTTCACAAGTGGGTGGACGCTATTGCAGAAGCTTCACTACCCCGACTTTCCCACCTTCTCCTGGTAAGACTTTCACTGCCCTCCCCAAAGGCGCTAGAAGAGTGCTTCACCTTTGCTATTACGGTCTTCAGTACCTACTTCCTCCCTTGGAACCGCCCAAAGTGCTCTTTTCGCAGTTCTAACAAGTCATTCCCAGTTTCGACCCATGTATGGACTGGCTGGAGGAATAAAAGGCTATTCAATTCAACTCAAAAATCAAAAGTTATAGACTAGAAAAAAATTCAAAGGGCTGTAACTTTTGAACTAGTAGCCCAATCTTGGAACTGTTTGAAATTATGGATTCTACAGGCCACATTCTAGAAGAAAATTTTTTTCCGGGTCGATCTGGGACAATTTTTTCTTCGGGCCTCAAAAAAAGTTTTATACCAAAAATCGACTACACCAAAAATTCTCGTGAAAACACTTTTTCTTATTACTTTGGGTGCGTAGAATTAGAGAAAAGCCCTACTTTCCAATGGAGCCGATGAGTTCGTGATTCATTTCGTGTATGGTAGGCCCTTGGTGCACCGTTTTGAAAAACGTCATTTCACCATTTCGCGGGATTTCTACGTAATTGCCACGTGGAAAAATTACGATCTCGACAATGACTCAAAGAAAAAAAAACTATCGATCCTTCGACTTAGCTCTCTACGTTGGAAACCGCGAATTTTCGCGTAGTCAGTTTGCGTTCGAGCGAAGAAGACGCAACGCGCGTCCGTCACCCACACCTTCCCACAAAATTGTCCCTGGATTTTTCTTATAAAAACGTGCCGATGAGCAAGAATTTCCCAAGAGAAATATTGTCTAAATTTAGTCCAGTTTAACATTGAGATGCCAGCGCATTCTCTAACAAATTGTTCCTCTTGGTATAAATTACAAAACGAGAGTAGTTCATATTTGATCAGTCGTTTTTCACGCATCTTATCATATCGCCTTATCTTGTAATAAGAACTTGGTAAACGAAATTACGTTCGTTTGGATTTTTCCGTCGTTTGCTTAGTCGAAAAAAAACCGCTGAAAATTTAGTGATGAAATGTGCGATTCGTCCCTTGTTCGCGCCAGTGATTATCTTGAGTCTCGTAACTGTAGTTTTAAATACCTGTGAAATTCAGTTCAATCACAAAGGTGAGGATTATGTCCTTGGTGACTACGTCTATAATGGAACAATTAGTGAGTGTGGTTGTGATAATCGTACAAATATTTGCATTAGAAAGTGCTGTGACCTAAATTACACCCTTTCCGACCAAACGTGCATTTTTAACGACACCCAAAGTTTTAAAATTGCCGTCTACGATGACGTTAACCCAGTCGCGGAAAATCTTACGTTTCGTTACGTAGCAGGCAGAGTGAAGTGTCCTAAGGGAATCTCCCACTATAGATTGGAGCCCTTGGATTACCCCGATGAAACCTTCTATTTCCAGCCCAATGGAAGTTTGTGGCAGCCCGAGGTGAACAAATTAATTTATCGGGAGAACTATTGCTTGGAGAATTTCCACGATATTGGATTGTCGGCGTTTGTCTGTGTGGATGGCCCTCCCGAAGAGCCAAAGTCACTGTACACACTTGGTGAGTCGTTATCATTTTAAGTTGCTTAGAGTTATGACTCAGTAGATAGCAGGTAGATTGGGTCATTTCAAAATACCCACTAAGGAAATTCGGCATTGGTAGATGCACCTGGAAAACTCCCATATAGTCTGTTTGTCCCAAGAAATATTCACCCGCGGAATATGATCCTTGCTCTTTTTCGCGAACTGCGCTAATTTTTCGAATGGCACGACCTCGCATTTGTTCTTTTGTTCGAGTTCCTGATTCAGCTCGACCCACTTGGATTTTGAGCTTCTTCTCCTTTTTTGTTCCTTCTTGCTAATGGCTCTTTTTCTCTTCGGCATGATAGATTCTTCTTAATCTAAACTAAAAAATTTTTCATATATTGTTCGATGTTGGTGTATTTTTACTGTTTGCCTGTCGTCGCCTGTGATCAACAAGATGCTGCTCAAGATATTCGCATATGATGTTTTGACCCTACCACCGGAATTTCATAAGGATTGCTCCGTAAATAAGATACTTACCGCGTAAACCTGATGAAATCACCTCGCATTCGGAAACACGACTTCTAGTCGGGCTCATATTCAATAGCACTTGAACTCGTAGTGGAAATCGATGGAAGAAGGTTTCACGTCTCTGCCTCTTTTTGTTCTCGAGTTAGACGAGGAGCAGTCAGCAGACGGACAAATTTTCGAAAAATTCCCTTAAAAAACTCGAACTTTCTGGAGAAATAGTACAAAAATAATCAAATTAACTTAAAACCGGAACTACATAAAATTAAGCTCGAAAGCTTTAAAAAAAACGCATAACAGCTGAACACGTGACCACGGTTTTCGCGCCGATGAAAATCCACGTAGGGAAATTCCGCTAGGATTGGACCCTTTTTACGACAGCAAGGACAAGAACCTATTTTAGTTTAGCCGAGACAAGAACCACTCAATTACAGACTTATTTTCAAATGCGTTCTTTGTAAAAGAAATACTTTCCTGCTAATCTTCAAACAATCGTCCGTAGACGCATAATATGTGAACATTAGGTACCTAAGGTATTACCTATTATTATTATTATTATATTGTCTCCTAAAAGTTTGCGTGATTGTAGTGATATCATCTGTGAATCTTTTCGTGGGTGGATATTTTTGTAAACTTTAGATGTAAGTACAGAACCTCTTTTGTTTTGCTTAAACGCTTTGAAAAATGGTTTAGGTTTGCAATGTGGCGTCTCTCTTTCTTTCCGTACTGCTCTCTCTTCGCTCAGATGTCAGATTATTTAAATATCATGTGGAATCCCTCCTACAGTATTCTTCCGATTTTGATAAAATTTGACGGTAAGATAAATAAGATTCCGAGTGCAGAAAAGTTCTTTTTACTTCCTAAAGTAGTGATTCGTCGAGGAAATCCCAGGGTACAACCATGCGCGACAAAACCATGTCACTCCACCGCACAAAAGTTACGAAATCTCCCCTCGACAAGGCCGCATGGCCCAAACTGGTAGTTACCAACCAATCCAAGATGGTGGAGGGCGTCTGGTTTCTACTGACGTAGTCACGCCGTCCAAAAAAACAAAATGGTGGACGAAGGAGGCCTTCAAGGATCAGTTCGCTGGGTCCTCCATTATCGGACATGATCTACGATGGGTTACTCAAACTAAGAAGTTACGATAGTAAGGTACGCGAACCATTTTACAATCGTGGCAACGAGCCAGAAACTGGAATAGGCAATTAGGGCTACGGAGTCTGCGGCGGCCATGGTACGAGAATGAATGGAGAAGACAAATGAAGACAGAAGCGGTTTAGTCAGGGAGGCATTTCTGAAAAAGGCTCTCTAAATCATGTCTAACGGCGTTTGGTGCTACAAACTGGCGGTGGCCCCCGCCCCCGCTGAAAACGATGCGCCCTGTTGCCAGACCCGATTTTGACATTTAAGCCCTTAAATCCAAGATGGCGGCCAAAATTGCCGTTTTTTTCGGTTATTTCGAGCCCACAAGGCAGCCACTGAACGTTTTGGGTAGTTTAAGGGTAGAATAACATCTAGTACACACGACGACACCGTTTAGGCACACTTTCGTATTCATATTAAGGGCGTAAATGCCTAAACTCCGCTTAAAAACGTCAAAAATTTATCATTTTTTTTCTTTCTGACCGGTTGTCGGCGTCCAATATGCATTCATATGGTGAAGTTAACATTTAAGTATGTGGGGACCTCCAGCAGCGCCATATGCCTGGGGCCTAAATATCAAGATGGCGCCTGTAAAGTCCAAAAAGAGTGAAAAAGTCGTTATTTTTGCCGTAGTTTTACTACACTGGCCACTCTTTACGTTCGCTGTTCATTTTGATGTTCTGGAACGTTATTATGAGTAATTGCGACTGCCACCCCGGACGTAATACACCCCCACGAGAGGGGGTGGAATTATCATCTCGAACCGAACGGATTCGCGAAACCATCAATCAGCGCACTCGCGTGTTGTTGTGCGTCTTCGTCGGCGCCGCTCCTGAAGTTCGTCTGTGTCGCTTCGATGGCGTCTTCCACCTACGCCCGATATTTCATTTAATATTAAAAGACCATTAATTTTACATCATGTAGGCTAAGATTACATTCAATGAAGATATTTTTTAATGTTATTGTTTAATTGTCATCGTTTTTACCCCATGCTGCCTTTCAAATTTTGCATTGTGTACTTCTAAAATATTTTAACAAGTTTTATTCTGTAATTTCCTTAAGCCAGAAGGTGACCGTTGGTCGAAACTAGTCGCGGCTTTTACAATTTGTCTATTAAAATCGAGATTAAAATAGTATGGGGAAGGTTTTGTGTCTTTTTGGGATTTAACCTGGGATTTAACGACTCACTCTAACATTTACATTAACATTAAGCTCGTTCATACTAATTTAACATGATATCACATTACATTCTAACGCATGAAGATGCTCTATTCAAACGTTAGGCCACATCTCTATTGATCGTAGAATGGTGCTCATGTCTTCTTTCGCGGTGATGACTTCCATTTGACTGTTTCAGTTTTCCCTAGGCCATGCAGCATGAATCATCCTCTGGTGGTGATTTTTACAGTACCTAGTCTATGTGTAATATTCCAAAAACAATCCAGAGAGAAAACGTCAGTGCTTCAAGAGACAATGTTCTTATTCTTGCATAATACCTTCTTCACAGTATTAGTGCTCAATATTCTAAACAGTTTCGACTGCCAAGTGTTACGTTTTAATTTAAAAAAATCAAAGAAAACTTGGGAAGCAGGTTTTAATATATTTGCCCTCAAATTACGCCGCCAAACCAACTTCTGCCTCTTGGTTCCATAGTTAAAGTTTATAGGAGACGAGTCCCCACTTCCGCAGTTAAGCCCTTCAGTTGTGTAACATCCAGAATGATATTCGCAATTCTCATATTATGGCTCCAGGCCATCGAAATGGGAAATGTGTGACCAGTGTAGTAAAAATACGGCAAAAAGAACGACTTTTTCGCTGTTTTTTGGACTTTCCAGACGCCATCTTGATATTTAGGCCCCAGGCATAGGTATCACGCTGCTGGAGGTCCCCACATACTTAAATGTTAACTTGACCATATGAATACATATTGGACGCCGATAACCGGCAAGAAAAAAAAATGACAAATTTTTGCATTTATGACGTTTTTAAACGGAGTTTTGGCATTTAGGCCCTTAATATGAATACGAAAGTGTACCTAAACGAGGTCGACGTGTGTACTAGATGATATTCTACCCTTAAACTACCCAAAACGTTCAGTGGCGTGCCTTGTGGGCTCGAAATAACCGAAAAACGGTAATTTCGCCCGCCATCTTGGATTTAAGGGTTTAAATGCCAAAATTGGATCTGGCAACAGGGCGCATCGTTTTCAGCGGGGGCCAATTAGTCTAGAACCGCCTGTTGCCAGTTTGTGGCACAAAACGCCGTTAGACATACACTTTTCAGAAATGTCTCCCTGACTAGTACTGATGGCGGGTCTCCCAATCCAGGAGGACACTCGAAAGGACAATTGACGTAACGACTGATCAAAAAAGAATTTACGTCGAGGCGGCTTTGGAAGTTCAAGTTAAATATGATCTTCCATATAAACAAAAATTCCAAGGGCGACTCGACAGCAACCCTTTTTTGATCGCATAGTACTAGAAGTGAGATTATGCGGGAGCACATCGAGAGGGATATCCAAAAATCGACCTAGGCGGTTAAGGTGTCGAAAATAATTAAGTGGAGTTGTGGTGGCGATCGAGAAACCAAAGGAGGGTGTGGGTCTCACTCATTTTCCATGAGAATGACACCCAACCAAAATCTATTTGTGATAACCCTCCTCTAAGGCTTCTAAAAGAACGAAGGAGCACGGTGGACCTCTGGCAAGGGGAGTGGGGAACGCGGTCTTCCTGGACAAAAACCTTGTTAACCGTTTACGCAATTATTGTTAACTAGAATTGACGTGCCAAACGGAACCAGAACCAAAGAGTATTATTAAGTATTCTTTACCAGAACATAATAAGATGCTGGCGCATTATTAGGTCAATTTAGGTTGTTTTTTGATAACTGGATAATCGCTTGGGGTTTATTCATCGCCGATAAATGTCGATAAAAATGAACCGCTGCGTGTGTGTTTCCATTTCCTAAAATTCGGACGTGTTCCGGCAACGTCAGAATGCTCGCGGCCATCTTGCTGCTGTTGTGCGTCAAAGTGACCCACGTCCGTCCGTCGTGCCAGAAGGACCGAATCGCCCCCCTCGACGCTTCGTACCTTAGCACCAGTTTCGCCTACACTGAAACGATCAACGATTGCGAGTGCGATTCAAAAACGTGCGTCAGGAAGTGCTGCGGCGTCGATTATGTGCTTCGAGGGGACTCTTGCGTTCGTACACGCGAAAAGATCACGTTCGAAATTTTTGACGAGATCGAGCCCGTCGAAGATGCCCTGGATATTAAAATAATTGACGGTTATATTTACTGCCCGCATGGAAATATCTATTCGTTAAACGCAGCGGAAGATCCGTTCTTTGTTCAGAGAAATGGAAGCTTGTGGGTGCCTTTTGCAGAAGAAATTATTGACCTCGACTCTTATTGCGTTGACGATATTGATGGGGAGCTTTCTGGATTGACATGCATTGACTGGACGGACGATGTGGTCACTGTCAATAATTACGGTAGGTATGTAAATTACGTTGGTTTCGATCTTTGATAATCTTCCTTTTTATTAACTTGAAATTTGGTCCCTATTTCCATTCGGTACTATTTCATTGAAATTTGGTCTGCTAAAAGCTGGCATCCTCAGCTGAAGAATAACCAGACATTCCCGCTTAAAGAAAATCTTGATTGTTAACGTCGAGTGTAAAATGGTAACTGAAACAATGACGCTTTGGAGAGGTGGTTCACTGGAGTGAGCGGACGGATGTTTAATATGAACGATTTTTGAGTTACTTCAGAAATATTTGGCAGTGCACTGCATAAATCAAACATTTTTGGAATGCAGGCCAAACCTGTTTTCAATAATATCGATTAGGCAATCAAAACATTATAAAGCATTGTCCCTGTACTACTTCAAAAATTTGGCTTTCTCTGCGATGAAGGATGACACGTCGTGTTTTCAGTTGGGCTTTGGTTTGTACCAATCATCGGGGGAATCTCTTGTCAACGGTAAAAAATAAACTTAATGTCAAAGATACAACGGCCGTAAGATTTCAAAATAAACAATGTGAATATCCGTTCGAGTTTTTAAAGTTTCGAGACGTCGCATTTGTTGAACATAAACGCGCAATGTAAATGACTACTTCTCATCACTTCGTCTGTTTATAAACAAAACTAAAATTAGCGTCAAGTGTAATTTTAAATAAATTTCCTTGGCGCACAATTAAAATTAGAAGACGCTAATTTACTTCGGTTCCTGTTGTAAGATTGGAAGGGGAGATTGTACCTAATTCTTCATCTACTTGCTCCATCCGCATCCATTTGGCTTCTTCTTGGCTCTTCTTCGTTTAGTGGATTATTTTCTTGTTGCGAATATTCCTTGTCAGCTCTCCTTCCACCCTCCTCAGTTCTTGACGTGTTTCTTTTGTTAGCAACGCTGCAAGTTCCGCTTCGGTAGACGATAACGAAACCGTGCGCTATTTTCTTGTCGTCCAGCTGACTGTACAGGGTGGCCAAATAAGAATGCGAGGTACTGTATCTGGGAACCTGTCCATCGTAGACGCTTGCGGTAAAAAAATTTACTACTAAAACGGCCACGAGAAAAACCTGGAAAATATTTTTAAGTTTCTGAAATGGCCGCTAGGGGGCGTAACTGCAATCTGGAATCTAAAAAAGTGTGAATTCCGCTATATTAACCTAACAAAAAAATACCCGGTCTTTGAAGACGACGATAATCTGAACCTTTTTTGTTTGACAATTTTTCCTGTGTCTCTAAATGAAGTGGTGGGGGGTATTCAATGGTTTCCGTAAAGAACACCCTGTATCTTCGAAACGACTGAGCCGATTTTAACAAACTTGGATTAATTGAAAAGAGTTATTCTTCGGCTACACATATTATAATATTTGAAGTTTTGTTAGTTTCACATATCGCCGCTTGAGGGCATTTTTCGACATTCCGACAGAAATGGTTAATTTTCTCAAAAAAATTAAATGCACTGGTTCGATTTTTTTTTCATGAAAAAGTAGCTAAATGATGCCTAAACAAGCTCGCGAAAACCGCATCTCGATATCTTGTTCCTAACCTAAAATTTAGGCCAAAGAAAATTTTATACCCTCAAAATTTTATTTTTTTAAGATAATTTTTCCGGAATTATTTTTATTATATAATTTGTGGCCCTAAGGTGGATCGATTTAAAAAAGGAAGCTTTTAATGCCGCCGTAAATGCTCGAAATGCTGGCCATCACGATATAAAAATAAATATATATATATCTCAAGATATCGAGATGCTGTTTTGGCGAGATTGTTTAGGCATCATTTAGATACTTTTTCATGAAAAAAAATCGCACCAATTCATTTAATTTTTTTTGAGAAAATTAACCATTTCTGTCGGAACGTCGAAAAAAGCCCTCAAGCGGTGAAATGTGAAACTAACAAAACTTCAAATAGTATAATATTTGTAGCTGAAGAATAGCTCTTTTGAACTAACCCGAGTTTGTTTAAATCGGCTCAGCCGTTTCGAAGATACAGGGTGTTCTTTACGGAAACCTTTGAATACCCCCCACCACTTCATTTTTAGAGTGACAGGAAAAATTGTCAAACAAAAATTGTTCAGATTATCGTCAACTTCAAAGACCGGACATTTTTTTGTTAGGTTAATATAGCGGAATTCACAGAAACATCACTTTTTTAGATTCCAGATTGCAGTTACGCCCCCTAGCGGTCATTTCAGAAACTTAAAAATATTTTTCAGGTTTTGCTCGTGGCCGTTTTAGTAATAAATTTTTTTACCGCGAGCCTCTACGATGGATAGATTCTCAGATACAGTACCTCGCATTCTTAGTTGGCCACCCTGTACATCCAGAAATCTTCAAAACACAGCCTGTGATAGATCTCCTATCGATCAAGTCATTTGCCCAGTCCGTATCCAGGTGGTCAGACCCTCCGGGAGTCCCGTCCTGATCGCTATCGGCCGAATCAGCCAAATTTGCTTTGGAATTTTCGCGGTTTCTTCTTCCTCGAACAGTCCCCCAACTTACCTATGTGCATCCTTCTTGTACCGAAAATACCGGATCTTCTCGGGCTATTTCACCTCGGAAAATTCAGTCACCTAAAGCCAGGGATGAGGCTCTGAAGAGGTGCAATAAATGTAAAAGCAGCGGCTCGGGGCCCTTCTGCAGAAGAGCCGGGAATATCCCGTCCGATCCTGAGCTCTTTTAATAGTCTGAACGTGTTGTCCGCCCATCTCAGAGATTCCTCTGTAAAATCACCCGCGCAGGTACTTTCCACCAACCGGGTAGCTCCTGTTGGTGGTTCCGAAGTTACGTAGTCCCCAGAACCGGGAAAGTGGGTTTCCGGGAGACATCTGAAAGCCTCACCTCGCACCGGTGTCGCCACATTTTGCCCTGGGTCTTTTAAAAGGATCTTACGAAGTTTTTGAGCTTCACATTTTAGTTTGATCCTCGAATTGACGTAATAACCTTCTTAAACAATAACGTAGAAAGCTCCCCAGTAAGCGATAAATTCCTATTATTGCCTATGCCCAATTGTAATTGTAATCATCAAGCAATTAGAACAACTTCCAGTCCAGGTCCAAACGATGTTAATTAACCACTCATAAAATACATTACAAACAAGACTCCATTCGTTGATTAAGCCATCAGCATCATAAGAGAATTTACTCGTGCGATAAAATACCCTAATGGCCCATTTCTGTGTGTGTGTTAACTATATAAATGGAATTTAATGCGCTGTATCATCGGCTTACCATAAATTCCCGCAGCGAAAAAAAAACATACGCACCCTCTTACGATGCAATATACATAATTATGCGAAAACACACCCCGTGCCGGGTTTTTCTTGTACAAAACAGAAAAAGAACGCGACACACCTTTATTGGTTAATTTAATTACACTAGAGATTAAAATTGCTTTTAAGCTAATAGTAATTCTTGAGCGCTAATAACATTTCTAATATAAACTACAAAAGCAGTGTCATAGTAATTGAGGGTTGAGAGAGAGCATTTGGAGAAAGTTTTGATTCAAATCCACCATTTAGTCTTCCATTTATTGGTATAAGAAGCTCAATGGAGAAGGTACCGAAATACCAAAGGGATGGAAGCAGAGCTGGGCAGAATACTTTCAAAAAGTATTTGTATTCAAATACTTTACACAAATCAAAGGCATGTGAATACTAAATACTTTTACGTCCAGCACAAGCGAATACTAGATACAGATACATTAAAAAGTATTCAAATACTTAAAAAAATAAGTATTCAAATACTTGAGAATGTATTCGAATACTTTCAAAAGTATTCGAATACAGTAAAAAGTATTCAAATACTTGTCACTCAAATACATTAAAAATTTAAAATAGTATACTAGATAAAAGGCTTAATACTACTTAAAAAATCAAGTTATACTTTGTATGGGATTAGCTTTTTTTATATCTCTATTGTTATATACAAATTTAAGGGGAGTAAAAGTAATAATTTCAAACAGTTCCAAGATTGGGCTACTAGTTCAAAAGTTACAGTAAAGTAAAAGTAGTTGATTTTTGGTAAAAAAGAAAGGTTAAGCTTAAGTATTCACATACTATGCGAAGTATTCGAATAAGTACTAAATATTTGTGAAAGTATTTGATTACAAATACTGCTTCCATAAAAGTATTTAATTACAAAGTATTTGAATACTAAAAAGTATTTACAAAATCGAATACTGCCCAGCTCTGGTTGGAAGAAAAAATATTAAAATAATGGCGAGATTTAAATGAGGAAACTAGGAGAGGAAACGAAAAGCGGAGAGAAGAAAAGAGATGCAGAATTCGTGGAGAGAAAAAGGAAGATATAGATCACCTGATATGGGAATGTAAAGAAGTAGAAAGAAGGAGAGAAATATTCGACGAGCGGGGAAGAGAAGAAAAATTGATGAAGATACGAAGGAATGCAGAAAATTTGATGTACATGTAGTTGAATATACCCAAAAATGACGTAAATGATTGATTGATAAAAGCTTGTCCCTAGATTTTGGAGTTTCGGCTTTACTTGAACAAAATTTCTTTGTGTGTTTGATGTATTTGCCACGAGCACTTCTTTTTATGTACAAGACTACGAATTGTTACGCTTTTGTTAGCGAGCCAGATTGATAAGATTGTTTTTTTTTCAGGAATGATAATTTCCATGCCATTTCTCCTGGCCACCTTCATCGTGTACGGCCTCCTGCCCGAAAGGAACATGCACGGAAAATCGCTGATGAGCTACGTCATATCCTTGTTCGGCGCGTACCTTTTCCTGGTGATAATACAGGAGCATACCGAAATTGTCGGCGCAGGCTGCATCGCCTTGGGTAGGTACCGATAACTTTGTAATCCAAATTGATTCCGTTTCTTTTCTTAGGTACTTTATGCCTGTTCTTCTTCATGGTGTCGTTCCTTTGGATGAACGTTATGTCTATTGATATTTGGTGGACGTTCAAGTGAGTAGGTATACTACCGTCCGGTGGATTTCACGTGGGCATGTTTTCAGAGGGATAAGGGGTTTGAGTGGTAACAAGAAGGAGGTGGAGCAAAAACGTTTCCTAATGTATTCAATCTACTCTTGGGGCGTGCCCTTAGTTTACATCATTATTATAACGATAATAAACGTCAGTGCGCCCCCAAACGCCTGGTATAAGCCTGGCATTGGCGACGGACAGTGCTGGTTCTCTCGTAAGGACTACGCTTATTTTCCCATGCATAAAAATGAACCCTTTGTTTCAGTTGGAGAGACTACACTAGTGTACTTTTATCTGCCTCTCTGTATCATTATAATTGCGAATGTGGTGCTTTTTGCGCGGACTTCTTTCAGGATACGGGAAATGCAGCAAGAGACCGCCATTCTGAGACGAAATGAGAACAGAATCAGCACCCAAGACCACGATAAGCAAAGGTAAGTTTTCTGTCTTCCGCCGCTTTGCACTCAAGCTTCGTTTGCTTCAGGTTCTACCTGTACTTAAAACTACTTATGGCAATGGGCGTTAACTGGTCAATGGAGATCATTTCGTGGGCTGTAGACTGGAAGGTTGAGGAGGTACATCCGGCAGTGTGGATTTTAACGGACCTCTGTAACGCTTTGTACGGGGTGTTCATTTTCTTCATGTTTGTCTTCAAGCGTACGATGTGGAATTTGATGAAGAAACGGTAGGTTTGCCGCGGCACGGCTGGTTTTGGTAACCGTTTGTTTTCAGGTACTACATGGTGCGTGGAAAAGTGCAGTTGGCTAAGACCATACGCGCATCTGACTCACCGACGACAAGTACAACTGCTATATCTCTCACTAACAGGATAACTTAATCACGTTTTGTATTGTTTTTTATTTTTATTTATTTAAAACGCACTTTGAATGTCGCTTAAGAACAATATACTCTTTTGCTTCTGTGTCTTATGTAGGTATCACTATCAGTATTATAAATAAAGTAAACGCACGCAAATTCGTATCTGTATAACGTTTAACTCTAGTCTTCTCCACATGTATAAGCAATAAATGACAACCCCCCCCCCTCCCTCCGGCCCGCCAAAGAGGGTGAATGCTTTCATCCGTTCTTGTAATAATTAGATTTCTTTATCTTAACTTCGTCTTTAATATTTTGATTCCACCATTTTGTTTGTTTTCCGTTTCTATTTATCAATATCGCTTTACATACTTCAATCGTCGCCGTTGATAATACTATCCCATTAAATTTTTCCTATGGGTCAATATTCACGTGCCAACACCATTTACTTACCTATAAGTCAAATTTTGGATGGTGCTTCCAAGGGGTAACCATCCCCATTCGCCCCCGTGTAATTCCGCATTTGTTAGGGAAAACATTGGAATTTGTTAATAAACGAATAGTAGGTTATCACATGTAGCTAATCTAAATGAGTTAAGAAATATATGGTCAATAATGTATAGGTCATATTGTAGTAATGCAATATAAAAATCTATTCAAAATGAATGGGGCATTTTTCCAAAAGGTTCTTTGCATTGTTTTAACGCATGTGGTGACGGCGACGGTTGAGACACAAAAACAACCAAACCGCCGACGTAACCACATGGCTCAACAATGCAGAAAGCCTCATTCTAATAAATCTAAGTTGATACTTGTTATAATGGGGGTACATCACTAGAAGAAATCCGTTTTTGTTTAAATTTTGGGTTTAAGGAAATAGATTTTAGCAAAAAAAATAATTGCGCAAAGAGAGAACTGTTTCCACATTTTTATGTCGAGTAAGACGTTTTCATGATTATTAACTCGATGGGGAATCTTTACACTCGCCACCAGTACTAATTTTTTGCACTTGCCTCAGATCTTTTCTCCAGTAATTACGAGAGTACCTGTTAAGAATTTAAGACTGTTAGAGGTACTAGTGCAGAATTTCTCCAAGACCTCTGAATCAGTGAAAAACCTCTGATGAGCTTGTAATCAACCTTTGAAACACAATACCTAACAACTCGTAGTATACAATATCAAGAATCAATAAATTGGAACGCATTCGAAGAATCTCTAAGAGTATTTGAAGAACCTCTTAAAAGTATTCCAATATACCCCAGAAAAATTGCGAACGTTAAAAAAGCTCTAATGGGCGCTTCAAACATAAATAAACATGGTATGGTCGATCGATAATTTAAGGGTACGAAATTTGTTCTCCAATGGAGAGCATTTGCATTGAATCTTTCGGACCGATGTATTTTAAACTTCTAATATTAGGAAGTTGAATAGACCCATAACGTGGCAATTAGGTAATTGATTTCTGATTTAAAAACATGATATTGTCGAAGATAGCTTATTTCCAAAGGAAACGCCATAACCGCAATAGGAACATGGTTAATTGCGTTTTACTTTTTTAAGGATAAATGATCGGTTACTTCCTTGCATTTTTCCTTCCCGTTCAGTTAAAGAACGCCCCCGACCTCGGCAAAAAAGCGTGTGCTAACACAAAAATGTAGAATTGGCTAATTGTACATCTCGATACGGAACTAATTAACGTGTGCGGTTTTATATTCCGGTGATTAATGGAGGAGGAAGAAAAAACAATTAGGAAACATTTCTCTTACCTTTATTAGCCTTATGGATGCGAACGGCTACAATGAGCTGGTTTCGTTATTGTTTTCTTTGCATTGTGGTGCTCCATTGTGTTCCATCGGAAGGGTTTGTTTACAATGTCTCGACCAAAGACTCCAAACCCAACTGCGTGTGCGACGAGAATACTATCTGCATACGAAAATGCTGCGAGCTGAATCACGGCATACCCGGTTCCGCCGCGAACTGCACTTGGTATGGAAATCCAAACTTCGTGACGCAAATTACCCATGACAGTGAAACACCTCCAGATGTGTGCTTTACGTATGGAATCATGCAGTGCGGTTTCACGTTTTTCCGATTGGAGCCTCGCATGAACGCCGATGATGAGTATGAGATAAAAGATGGTGTTCTCAGTACACCTGCAATTGAAATGGCATACCCGTACAATGAGTTCTGTGTTGAGGATTTTGAAGATATTGGCGTTTCGGCGTACGTTTGTGTTAATGAAGAAGCAGTGGAGCCCGGAGAATACTACGCATTTGGTAAAATTTAGTTTAGTCGAGATAACCTTATAAACCTTTGGGTTGCAGGTATGCTAATATCAATACCTTTCCTGATAGTAACCTTTGTCGTGCATGCTTTGCTTCCCGTTAAGACCATGCACACAAAATGCTTGATGTGTTTCGTGCTGTCCCTAGCGTTTGCGTACGTGTTTTTGAGTTCCACGCAATTTTATGGAGGTTCTGATATGATCGCGTGCCTAACGATTGGTAAATTGGGCTGGAAATTGAGAACAAACGCACTGACTTAACCATTTCAGGGATGATTTGCGTATTTAACTTTATGGCAAGCTTTCTTTGGACAAACGTGATGTCGTTCGATATTTGGCTGACGTTCAGGTTATTTTGGGTAAGTGTCGGTGACGCAGTGAGCTAACTTTGTAACCGTAGCGGGGTTGGAGGATTTGGGCGCAATCGGAAGAAGTCAGAGCTGAAACGTTATTTGATGTATTCGGCGTACGTTTGGGGCTTTGGTGTCATTCACATCACAATGATCGTTCTTTTGAATACATTTGCATCAGAAGATGCTTGGTATAACCCACTGTTCGGCTTCGACAAGTGTTGGTTTAGAGGTATCATCGTATTGTACATTTCCATCTCAAAAATGTTGCAATTTCAGACGATATGGCTATCCTGCTTTACTTTTACGGACCTTTAGCTGCAATTATAGTCATTAACATCGCACTGTTCACGTTAACCGCTCTAACCATAAAAAAAACTCAAAAAGACACAAAGGTACTTAGGCAAGGCGAAAACAAGAGTACGGATGATGACCAGCAGAGGTACGAAATACTTTCACTCGTTTTAAGATAAATAGTTGCTTATAGATTCAAATTGTACTTGAAACTCTTGCTCGCTATGGGTGGAAATTGGTCACTCGAGGTGATCTCATGGGCGTGGGGTTGGCAAGTGGGTCCCGTGCCCGAGTTTCTCAACTTCGTGATCGATCTGTGCAACGTATTTTACGGCGTGCTAATTTTTTTCATGTTTACCTTCAAAAAGACCAACTGGATACAATTACAAAAACGGTAAGCACTTTCGCTCTTCTGCACTCGTAATATAACAATCTACATCTTAGATTTCCTTCTTTACGCAAAATCCAAATGCCGAATTTGTGCAGAAGAGGGCCCCAACAGACGTCTGAAAGTGTACCACTTTCCTAAGCGTTGGTTCACAGATAGGTAGTATACATTACAAATTAATTGCATTGCTTTAATTATACTTAATTAATTAATTATTGTTTGTAATAGAGAAAGGAATAAAAACGTGACAAACAACGATTTTTATTTGAAAATAATCAGATGTGATAAAAAAAGATTCTTAGATAGCCACATAAGATCGGTGAATATGCAGTATTATTATTATTCCCAAAGACGGTCTTCTATCATAGTCAGGGAGACATTTCTGAAAAGTGCATGTCTAACACGGCGTTTTGTGCTACAAACTGGCAACAGGCGGTTCTAGACTAATTGGCCCCGCTGAAAACGATGCGCCCTGTTGCCAAATCCAATTTTGGCATTTAAGCTCTTAAATCCAAGATGGCGGGCGAAATTACCGTTTTTCGGTTATTTCGAGCCCACAAGGCACGCCACTGAACGTTTTGGGTAGTTTAAGGGTAGAATATCATCTAGTACACACGTCGACATCGTTTAGGCACACTTTCGTATTCATATTAAGGGCCTAAATGCCAAAATTCCGTTTCAAAACGTCATAAATGCAAAAATTCGTCATTTTTTTTCTCGCCGGTTGTCGGCGTCCAATATGCATTCATATGGTCAATTTAACATTTAAGTATGTGGGGACCTCCAGCAGCGCGATATGCCTGGGGCCTAAATATCAAGATGGCGCCTGGAAAGTCCAAAAAGCAGTGAAAAAGTCGTTCTTTTTGCCGTATTTTTACTACACTGGTCACACATTTCCCATTTCGATGGCCTGGAGCCATAATATGAGAATTGCGAATATCATTCTGGATGTTACACAACTGAAGGGCTTAACTGCGGAAGTGGTGACTCGTCTCCTATAAACTTTAACTATGGAACCAAGAGGCAGAAGTTGGTTTGGCGGCGTAATTTGAGGGCAAATATATTAAAACACGCTTCCCAAGTTTTCTTCAATTTTTTTTAATTAAAACGGTAACACTTGGCAGTCGAAACTGTTTAGAATATTGAGCACTAATACTATGAAGAAGCTATTATGCAAGAATAAGAACGTTACAGAGTTAAACGTTGTCTCTTGAAGCACTGACGTTTTCTTATGGATTGTTTTGGCATATTACACATAGACTAGGTACTGTAAAAATCACCACCAGAGGATGATTCATGCTGCATGGCCTAGGGAAAACTGAAACAGTCAAATGGAAGTCATCACCGCGAAAGAAAACATGAGCACCATTCTACGATCAATAGAGATGTGGCCTAACGTTTGAATAGAGCATCTTCATGCGTTAGAATGTAATGTGATATCATATTAAATTAGTATGAACGAGCTTAATGTTAATGTAAATGTTAGAGTGAGTCATTAAATCCCAGGTTAAATCCCAAAAAGACACAAAACCTTCCCCATACTATTTTAATCTCGATTTTAATAGACAAATTGTAAAAGCCGCGACTAGTTTCGACCAACGGTCATCTTCTTGCTTAAGGAAATTACAGAATAATAAACTTGTTAAAATCTTTTAGAAGTACACAATGCAAAATTTGAAAGGCAGCATGGGGAAAAAACGATGACAATTAAACAATAACATTAAAACATATCTTCATTGAATGTAATCTTAGCCTACATGATGTAAAATTAATTGACTTTTAATATTAAATGAAATATCGGGCGTAGGTGGAAGACGCCATCGAAGCGACACAGACGAACTTCAGGAGCGGCGCCGACGAAGATGCACAACAACACGCGAGTGCACTGATTGATAGTTTCGCGAATCCGTTCGGTTCGAGATGATAATTCCACCCCCTCTCGTGGGGGTGTATTACGTCCTGGGTGGCAGTCGCAATTACTCATAATAACGTTCCAGAACATCAAAATGAACAGCGAACGTAAAGAGTGGCCAGTGTAGTAAAACTACGGCAAAAAGAACGACTTTTTCACTGTTTTTGGAATTTCCAGGCGCCATCTTGATATTTAGGCCCCAGGCATATGGCGCTGCTGGAGGTCCCCACATAATACTTAAATGTTAACTTGACCATATGAATGCATATTGGACGCCGACAACCGGTCAGAAAGAAAAACAAGTTAAAAAGTAATCGTAAACGATTTACATAAAGCGCATTTCCACTTGCATTCATTTCCCATTTGTAAGATGCAACTTTTGTTAAAATCGTAAAAATCCGGCCACAAATATGAAAGATAGCGTTGCACATGGGCAATCCATTTTTTGACGTGCTACTTCAATTTCAGTTTATGAGAAGAATTTCATTTCAGTGCTTTTCTAAATAAGAAAGTTGGAAATGCGCATGCGCAAACCTAAATTTTAAAACTAATGTTAGATTTTCCTTTGTTCCAAGCGCCTAAGTATCAAATTTCACTTAAATGGTTCCATAGATAAAAAAGTTGGCACTGCGCATGCGCAAAATAAAATTTTGAAACTGGCGCTAGATTTTCCTTTATTCCAAGTGCCTATGTATCACATTTCATTTAAATTCTTCCATAAATAAAAAAGTTGGCACTGCGCATGCGCAAAACCAAATTTTGAAATTGGCGTTTGATTTTCCTTTATTCCAAGTGCCTATGTATCAAATTTCATTCAAATACTTTTATAAGTAAAAAAGTTTGCAATTCGGTTTATAAATGGTCGAGATGCGAAAAGGGCACTGTGAATTTTGAATCGATTCGATTCAACTTTTGGCATTGCGTATTATATGGCTAAAGCTATGCCCATATTGAATTTCATGCAATTCAGTTCATAACTAACGGAGATGTAAAAGCGATCGAACATTTCTAAACAAAGTTATCGTTCACACGGACAGATAGATGGACAGACAGACAAAGGAACAGACGCACAGACCAACAGGCAGACGAGAGATAGCAATGAAAAATTGTAAGCGATCTCTAGGATCGTTAATAAACGGCAAAAGTGTAAAATTATGGAACATGTAAAAAACGGTTTTTTGTTTTTTTTACAATAACTTTTTTTGTAAGCGGTACAGAAAAAATTCCTTCCTTGGTACAAGACTCGACACCATAACGAACCAAATAGCGAAAAAAGTAGAACAATAGCTCTTAAGATAAAGAACTAGTAGCGTCGCAAAACGAGCGGACGGACGGACGGACGGACGGACAAAGTGGCCACAATAGCGCATTTTTTTTATTTTTGTGGAAATGCGCTAAAAATGATGATTTTTTGCATTTTTAACGTTTTTAAGCGGAGTTTAGGCATTTACGCCCTTAATATGAATACGAAAGTGTGCCTAAACGGTGTCGTCGTGTGTACTAGATGTTATTCTACCCTTAAACTACCCAAAACCTTCAGTGGCTGCCTTGTGGGCTCGAATTAACCGAAAAAAACGGCAATTTTGGCCGCCATCTTGGATTTAAGGGCTTAAATGTCAAAATCGGGTCTGGCAACAGGGCGCATCGTTTTCAGCGGGGGCAAATTAATCTAGAACCGCCTGTTGCCAGTTTATAGCACAAAACGCCGTTAGACATGATTTAGAGACTAGAGAGCCTTTTTCAGAAATGTCTCCCTGACTATCATGTATCTCATTCTATTAGTATGTGTATATCTCTAAAGAAATCTAAAAGCATCCCGAAAGCAATTCCTCCTGACACCCCCTGCAAAGTGAAGTAGGTATACTTCCAGACCCATATATTGTAGAGAGGTCAAAATATATAGGTCACTCACTCCTACTATAAACTTGAGCAGTTTTTAGCTCTTTGAACGCAGGCCTAGTCTGTTACCCATTTTATTACCCGGGCATTTGCATCAGTTCCACGTTATTATTTTCTGAAAGCTGGCTCACGTCTTGCGTACCTATGGGCAGAGCTGGGTAGTACTTTGGAAAAAAGTGCTTGCTAAAGGACTTCAATTACCTTTAGTGCTTAGAGCTCTGTGCTTCAATTACTTTTCTAATTCAGGAAAAAGTGCTTCAATTATCAAGCACTTTTAAAAGTGTTTGGAGCTTCAAGCCCTATTGAACTGCTTGAAGCACTTTCATACAATTTCGAGCACTTCTAAAGAGCTTCAAGCACTTTCATAACGAAGCTCTTATCGTGAATTAGGTGACGAATTTAGAAAACCCTTAGTCTTACTCATTCCTTCACTCCTACTCTGACGTTACCTACGTGTTCTGTGCTTCATTAGTGATTAGTCTGCAGTCTGCACATCCCACTTTTGACTTCTTGTTTTTCGTATTGTGTGGTTCCCTGTGAAAGGGGTCGTACGATTTCGTGTACAAAGAAAGGAAGACGTAATAGTTCTGCCATTTATTAACGCTGCCCTATCATATACAGGGCATACAGGCATACGTTAAGTTTTGTTATAGTTATTACGATAGGTATAATCAGATAATTTACTGTCGCGTATATAATACATAAAATACATTACCTGAACGGCAAAAAAAGTACCTAATCAATTACCACGCACTTGCCACTAAATTAAACATTTTTATAAAAGGCCAGAAAATAACATCAAACCGCCAAAATAGTAATACCAAGAATAGTAGAAGTTTAAATTTTGGTTTGCAAGTTATTTTTTTAATTAAGTCTTATTACTTTGATTACTTATAATATAAGGAATTGTGGGGCTCAAAAAAAAGCAGTGTATAACCTTCCTTTTTTACCAAAAATCGACTAGACCAAAATTTCTCGGAAAAACACATTTTCTTATCAATTTTGGTGCGTAGAATCCAAATCAATTCGTACATTTTCGATCAGACTTCTCAATCAAAAGTTATAGACTAGAAAAGAATTCAAAGGGCTGTAACTTTTGAACTAGTAGCCCAATCTTGGAACTGTTTGAAATTATGGATTCTACAGGCCACATTCTATAAGAAAATATTTTTTCCGGGTCGATCCGAGACAATTTTTTTTTCGGGGCTCAAAAAAAGGCAGTGTATAACCTTCCTTCTTTACCAAAAATCGACTACACCAAAATTTCTCGGGAAAACACTTTTTTTATTAATTTGGGTGCGTAGAATCCAAATCCATTCGTACTTTTTCGATCAGACGTCTCAATCAAAAGTTATAGACTAGAAACCCTGGTTTCCAGTAATATGAAAGGTGCTTTATATTGTTTATATTTATATTAATTTATATTGTCAATTACTGTGATTCAAGCACTTTTAATAGCTTCAAGCCCTTTCCAAGGGCTTGGGGTTTTGTATTTTCAATTACTTTAAAAAGTGCTTGGTAATTCCAAGCTCTTTCATCACATAAAAGTGCTTAGGGCTTGCAAGCACTTTTATCAAAACAAAGTGCTCGGTGCTTCAAGCCCTTTTCAAGAGGGCTTTACCCGGCTCTGCCTATGGGTTTCTTTTGCTAAAAACAACATCTGCAGTATGGTTAGTTTTTGGACTTCCGGAAGACCCTCTATGTGGCCACGGAAGATCCTCGCTTAGACCTTCGCATATGGTCCCTGTTCCTCCACTGAGCGATCTTGAGATCTTCCAAGTCCGCAGGCAGTTTAGTTGGCATGGCACTATATTAAAGAGCCTGCGTAGGTATACCTATCCTTTGAAGGTCTTTATTTTCGAAAGTCAGCTGCAACATGTATTGCAATAAGAGGTAGGTACCCACAAAGGATAGAAATAGGAATAGGGAGAGGCATGATCCATCTGGGCTTAGGGATTGACTACCCTTAAAACATGGACGTTCCTCGGCTATTACCATGCGAAGTATTTAAAAGCAAAGTCATCCCCTTACAATCTTTAAGTGGCACTAAAGTCTAAAGTGGGATTAGCCTACTCCAGGAATGCAATGAATGCAATTTAGTTGCTACAAACAATGTTCGCAGCTCAAGATCTGACAGCAATCCTTTAATAAGTGTCTAAAAACCAACCCCTTGCGAATTCCAAAACTATGACATCAACTACGCGACTATAATTAGTGTATAATTGACTGGCTCGTTACCTACGTATAATCACAGAAAAATAAATCAGTCGGAAGTTGCAGAGCGAAGATAAAAACTTCAAACCGAATAATTTACGAATTACGCACGTTGTCCATTAAATATTCGGTTAATCGCCGATAAGTCTCAATTTTTTTTCTCTCTGCATTTAATTAAATGAATCGTCACACCCTTGACCCTCATCTCCACATCTAAACAGTTAATTAAATTTCCCAGCTGCTGTTTGTATAGGATAGGCTTCATTAAGATTAGGCTAAACCTTCGATAAAGATGTATCCGGCGAAAATGGGAAAGTGGCAGTCGATGTTTAATTTTCACATAAACCCGTTTACCTTGATTTGGTCCTTGCCGATATAACGGACTGTTGCGAAAACGTCAGGTAGGAGAGGAATATAACTGTGCTGTAACATCGCCAAAGCCTACCAGTATGATGCTCCTGGGAGCGTTGCTGATTTACACGAAATTCTCCTACATTTCCTCGTTTTGCGAAGAACGTCATCAGGAGAAGATCCTCGCGATCGCAAATAACATTTCTTACGTGAACAAGCAATTTGCATATAACGGACTAATCGAAGATTGTGAGTGTGAGAAAAGTACGTGCGTTAGGAAGTGCTGTGACGCCAATTATGTGCCCTTTAACGACTCCTGCGTCCCAGCCCTGGAAGGGGCTCGTTTCCAAATATACAACCAAAGCAAACCGGTGGAGGGTGACTTGAACGTGCGCATTATTAGTGGTTACATCAATTGCAAAGGGAATCCCCATTACATGTTACAAGAAAGTGAAGGTCCGGATGATGAGTTTTTCATACAGAAAGATGGTCTCCTGTGGCATCCCTCTGAGGGGCTTATGGTTGCGCTGGATTCCTATTGCGTGGATGATTTTGATGGAGACCGCACCGCTTTGATTTGCTTTCCAGAGAAGAACCCGAACACTGTGATTAATATTACTGGTACGTGTTTTCTACTTATTTCAACCCTTATCGTATGTGTTACGTCTACCTATTATTGAGGAACACGCACCCTATACCCATATACCTACAGTTTAGTCCTTCAGCACCAACAGTTCATTATGTTGGTGTAGTTCTGAGTTCCTGCCAAGCAGCCAGTATTTGTTGTTGATCTTAAGGCTCTTCTATAATCAATCCGCCATATTTGAATGAAACCCAAAGGTTCTTATGCTGCTTTAGTAGTTGAAGTTTTCTAGTCTATAACTTTTGATTAAGAAGTCTGATCGAAAAAGTACAAATTGATTTGGATTCTACGCACCAAAATTAATAAGAAAAAGTGTTTTCCCGAGAAATTTTGGTGTAGTAGTTTTTTGGTAAAAAAGGAAGGTATTACACTGCCTTTTTTTGAGCCCCGAAGAAAAAATTGTCTCAGATCGATCCGGAAAAAACATTTTCTTATAGAATGTGGCCTGTAGAATCCATAATTTCAAACAGTTCCGAGATTGGGCTACTAGTTCAAAAGTTATAGCCCTTTGAATTTTCTTTCGAAATTGGTTTCTAGTCCATAACTTTTGATTGAGAAGTCTGATCGAAAAAGTACGAATTATTTTGGATTCTACGCACCCAAATTAATAAGACAAAGTGTTTCCCCGAGAAATTTTGGTGCAGTAGATTTTTGGTAAAAAAGGAAGGTTATACACTGCCTTTTTTTGGGTCCCGAAGAAAAAATTTTCTCGGATCGACCCGGAAACAAATTTTCTTATTAAATGTGGCCTGTGGAATCCATAATTTCAAACAGTTCCAAGATTGGGCTACTAGTTCAAAAGTTACAGCCCCAGTATTCTATTAGGCAGTATTAACTCCACTCCACCATCAATAAGATCTTATCGATCTTATGATTCTTTGTTTCAGGACTAAAAAACCGCATTTACTTTTATCTCATCCATTGTCTCAGTCCATGACACCCACTTGGAGAACACTTTTGGCATTTTTAGGTCTTCAAGCAACAGACTGTCTTGGCTGATTTGCACATGACATTGTGGGGTTGTTATCTTGAATGCGGGAAATTAGGATAACCACTCGATAAAGTGCATATCCGCTAAACATAGTCAACAGGCAGTCGATTGATCGATTTCTATAAATCAACTTGGTTTGATTCAAAGTCAAACCGCACAATGCTCCTGAAAGCATTGCTCTTCTACACGCAGCTCTCCTTCATTTACTCTTTTTGTGAAGACGATCACGAGGAGAAGACCCTCGCGATCGCGAATAACCTTTCGTACCGAATTAGATCGTTAAATTACAATGGAAGAATTGGAGATTGCGGGTGCAAGGCACGTACGTGCATTGGGAAGTGCTGCGACGCTAATTACGTTGCTACTCCTGCGTTCCGGTTTCGGAGCGGTTCCGTTTTCTAATTTACGACGACACTGAACCAGTGAAGGAGGATTTGAACGTACGCATTATTGGGGGTTACATTAATTGTGGGGGTGGTCCCCATTATATGTTGCAAATTACTGGGGAACCGGAAGATGAGTTTTTCGTGCAAACTAATGGCATTTTGTGGTTTCCTTATGATAAAACCATGGTCGGCTTAGATTCTTACTGCGTAGATGATTTCGATGGAGTACGCAGTGCTTTGGTTTGCTTTCCAGAGAAGTCACCAGATCTCAATGCTTTAGGTACGTAAGAAACTTCTTTCGATACCGCTAAACTTTTGCAAGGAGTTTTTCCTTTTTTCCTATTACCTACTTAATAAAAGCATTATTTTCCATTACGTTGGCATTTAATTGGCTCTAGTAAGATACTTTAGCTGCATATGAATAGGAATTGCATCCTTGTAATGATCCCTGTGGTGCCCCACGATGACCTTGGTCCGATACTCCAAACTGAATTGCATTACAAAAGTGCATTTTATCAACATGTGGTGAGTCATATCAATGCAATATGAACAATAGTCCATAATATAATATAATAATAATATAATAGTCAATAGGTTTATCAATACACGTAACGATTTTTTCGTTGTCGATTTCAATGAATAAATAAGCACAATTATATTGCTAACGATTCATGACCCAATAAAAATTGCATTGAATAAAAGAAGGGATATCCAAGGTATCCGTGTTATGGTTATTGTTTATGTATTTCCTTGTTTATAATTATTTTGTTGGAGTAGATGCAGCAGCCTTTTTGCTTTCTTGAAATAAAATTTCTACTTTTTACGTGAACTCGAAAATTCCCTAGCAAAACAGTTAACTGACCAACTAACTCTACCTAAAAAAAAAACAACAGAATCCTTCCGAAAGTATCAATATTGCCAAAACAGCAGGATCGCTGCCAACGAAGTCTGTTTGGTCCAATTCTCGAAGCAGCAGATAAAGGGAAGGTACATTGCCATACCCAATGGGTAGAACTCTTCGTCCTCGTCAAGCAAACAGCGAGTAGTAGGCATCCTCGGCAGTCTCAATGGAACGACAATTAATTCCACACTTGCGATTTAGTACGTGATTAATATAGCATTAAAATCAAAGCGGCGGCGATAAATTGATTTAAAACATTTCACTTGTGCAAATAGACGGCACCCCCAATCGTTAATACATAACTCAATGTTACAGGCATGGTGATCTCGATGCCGTTCCTACTAGCCACCTTTCTGATCTACGCCCTAATGCCCGATTTGAACATGCACAATAAGTCGCTGATGTGCTACGTGCTCTCGCTTCTTCTGGCTTACATCTGGATTACGCTAATCAATTCGGTCGCATTGGAGGGATTGGGCTGCACGGCAATGAGTAAGTAAATATCACCACCCATTTGTTAACGCCCACGTTGCAGCATTGTGCTGCCTCTACTTCTTTACCGCTTCGTTCTTCTGGATGAACGTGATGTCGATCGACATCTGGCGAACGTTTAGGTGAGTTTGGGGCGCTGTAGTGCCGGTATTTGCACGAGTCATTGCAGTGGTAAGCGCGATATTTCTGGTAACACAAAGGAGCACGCCCGAAAGCTATTTCTAATATACAATGCCTACGCTTGGGGCGTTCCTTTCGTTTTGGTCTCACTGGTGGTGATCCTGAACGAGTGTACTAGTAAGGAAAACTGGTACCATCCGAGCATAGGACAAGGTCTATGCTGGTTTTACGGTAGGTGCACTCGTTTACTCTCCTTGTAATTTTCAATTTTAGAGAGCATTCCGGAACTGCTGTACTTCTATGGGCCGATGGCGTTAATTATCGTTTTGAATCTGGTTCTCTTCGGAGTTACCGCTTTGAAAATAAGAAAGATGCAAAAAGACACTCAGATGTTGAGGAGTGGGCAGTACAAAAAGCATAGCGAGGATGAACAAAGGCAATTCAAGCTTTACATACGATTGTTTTTGGCCATGGGCGTTAATTGGATAATGGAAATTGTGTCGTGGACCGTCAACTGGAAGGTTGGCTCGATACCGCGCAGCGTGTGGTACCTCACCGACTTTTGTAACGCGGCCTATGGGGTAGTTATCTTTTTCATCTTTGTCTTTAAGAAAAGGATATGGAAGACACTGAGGACGAGGTGAGTTTCCCTGGCCATTGAGACGTCTAAGCTGAATGTTTAGGTACCCATGCGGAAGCAAACAAAGTTGCAAAGATGAAAGTGACTTGACTGCTACTTTATAGAGTACTACCTCTCCGCGTGTCCTACGTTAAGAATTTTAAAAATGTTTAGAATCTGCAGTGTTTTTCAATTAAAACGTCTTTATTTAATTAAATCCTACGGTCCAAAGTAGCGGCCAATAAACAACACTCCGATGGATTTCGACTTCAAGAAGTAGATAAAGGGACGGTTTGCAATGAAGTCGATCAAGACTTCTGCAACTGACGGTATCATTACCATAAACCCTAAAAAGCGTTTAATTATTCCGTCCAACCAGGAGGTAAACGCCTTTACCTCCAGTGGCAGCAACGGCCGTTGTACCTTCCTCATCAACCTCAATCACTGCTTTCTGTAGCACCTCGTCAATTTTAATTTTTTCCCCTTTATCTTCCGCGATCCCAGTAAATTCGGCAGAGTTCCCAAAGGCAGTCTTAATTCCCATCTGGAAACACACATATATAAGCAATGAACAGAATCTAAGAAATACCAACATTTTTAAGAACGTCGGTAAGCTTTATATCTGATTTAGTGACGAATTTAGGCATCTGCACGTGAACCTTGGCGTTGTAGTACGATTGCTCCCGAAACACTTCTTCGAGCCCTTCTTCTACGAGTTGAAGACCATTCACTTCGCTTGGCAAAATAATAGTCATGGAAATATCGCTGTCCTTGTAGAACATCTCCAAAACTTGCGCGTTCAACTTATCGTTATACGCGTACTTGAACTTGCTCGTCGTCTCCATCATCTCAACCTTTTTCTCTTCTGTTTCGCTCAAAAAAAAAGACCGAGTCTGCGTATCGTCCGCTACGAAAGCCTTCTCCCAGAAGCCTTTAAAATACATTGTGTTGATGAGTACCATCCGCGTGTGGTTCTTAAAGCTGTTAGGTTTCACCAGGTTTTTAATTTTTTCAAATGTCTCCTTGGAAACCCAGGAGTTAATCTTGTCGACGGTTTGAGCGTCGCGAAAATTGACGCGTTCGGCTGCTGATCGGAAAAATTTCGCAAGCGAGGTTTCATACAAGTCGTCCAGCTTAAACCCTGTATAAACCTTGTTGGCGCTCGCCAATGTGTATAACTGCCGTTCTTGTTGAGGTGGGCAGTTACTTCGTCGAAGGTTTTTTTGAGTTCGCCATTATCTCGCGGTATGCGCAGCGTGGAAGCGAGCTCTTCGGCAGTTTCACCACTAGCCCCAACCGCTGCAAGCGCTAAAGCGAGCTGTACAGACAGTGGACTTACGATAAAGCTTCCAGTTTGGCCCTTCGCAATTTCCTAGGAGTTGCTACTAATTAGTTTGTTATCATTCGGTTGATCATTACCGTATAGAGATTGGCCGCAAACTTCTGGGTTTCCCTAGCGAACGATTCGGCGCGATTTTCATTTTCGGCGCTAGCCAAAAGTACACAGGAGACCAATATGGAAATGAAGTTCATGATGGCGATAGTTGTTTACAACGGTTTGCCCGACAGTAATAACTATCCACAATTTATCTCGACGTTATCGAATTGCTTGCTTAACCGACTTTAAATGTGGACGAACTGTGATTTCGATTAAATTATCGGTATTTGTGTAATGCAAAGGAAATGTTATTATACAAATAAATTAAACAAATATAGCAAACGAGCTCCTGGGTAAGGCTATAGCATGTGCAAAACCAAATTTTAAACCTGATGTTAGTTTTGCTTTTATTTAAAGTGTATATGCATGAAATTTCATTTGAATGCCTCCATAAATAAGCTGCGCATGCGCAAAACCAAATTTTGAAACTGGCGTTAAATTTGCTTTTATTCCAAGTGGCTATATATCAAATTTCATTTAAATACCTTCATAAATAAGAAAGTTTGCAATTCGGTCTGTAAATGGTCGAGATGCGCAAAGGGCACTGTGAATGCTGATCGATTAGGCTCAACTTTTGGAATTGTGTTTTATATGGCTAAAGCTATGCGCATATTGAATTTCATGCAATTCGGTTCATAACTAACGGATATATCAAAAGGGCCTACCTTATTTTTTGGGCTACATTGCCAATTCACGAACTCCGATCTACAAATTTGATAAAGAATCCAACTGCAAAATTTCATCGTAATCGGTCCATTCGTTTATGAGTTATCGTGCTAACGGACGGACGGACAACAAAATTATAAACTCGCTAGGAGCTCGTTAATAATACATCATGTACAATATCAGTTTTTCTAGCCTGGAGACCTGACAGAAGTTAGTTACAGCGGATAATATACACGGTGTCCATTTTTCGAGTGCCACTATGGGGATCTCGCTTATCTTAAGAGATAGACATTTGATTAAATTAGGGCAAAGTTGCGAATTTTCGTGTTGAATAATAATCTGAAAAGAAATTTAAAATATCTTCAATAGTTTTGAAAATATCGCAAAAAAAAGAAAATTTCTGATTTTCGTTTTTAATTTTTTCATAGTAAACTAATCGTTCTAGACATTTCTAATTAACACATTATTCAGACACTTTTTAAGGGAGATTTCGAATATGGCATCCCGTTTTCAATAACTTTTAAGATGACAGAGAAACAGGTGGCAACTTTAATTTTTCTTATGGGCACCGTTTTGGATTTTGACATTTTGAGATTACGTCTTTTTTTCTCTTTACAACGATATATCACACATGGTGGTTCAGTAACACATTTTTCCTAAAATTACAATTTTAATTTTCTGCGAAGAGTGCTTTGGAAAAACAAAACGTTCTTTTGTTGTGAACAAAAGGTTGATTTATTTCAAGTAGTGTAATTTACGTTTGTGCTAGAATTATTGCGAAAATATTATTTATTCTTAAGTATTTTGTTCTAATTTGAATTATAATTTTCTTGCAAAACGAAGGTTCAATTATATTCAGATGAAAATCTCAACTCAACTAGTTCCCTGCCAACGCTCTAACCAGACAGATGGATCAAACTGTCATACTTTTGTTCACGATAAAACAACGTTTTGTTTTTCCAAAGCACTCTTCCCGAAAAATTAAAAAGTGTCTGAATAATGTTTTTTTGCGATATTTTCAAAACTACTAAAGATATTTTTAATTTCTTTTCAGATTATTATTCAGCACGAAAATTCGCAACTTTGCCCCCATTTAACCAACTCTCTTCAGGTAAGCGAGATCCCCATAGTGGTACTTGAAAAATGGACACCGTGTATATAGTTTTTTAATCTTTCAGATGTAGATCTGAAACAGTGTAGGGTGGTTAAGATAGGGGAAGTGTGTACCATATACAATATCCATCCTCTCTTTTCCATTAATTCCAGCAGCAATTCTCCCTCCTTGTTGCATTCTTTATCTCTTGAGCCTCTATCCTGTCTTCCTCTTCACATCTCTACCCATTTTTCTTATTCTGGCATTCAAATTCCCCCCCATATTAGCCCCCCTTCTCCTTTTCATCATATTTTCTATTTTATTTTTTAGTTCCTTCGTCATTCCTTCTTTGACCAGCCTTAGCGTAGCTACAGTATTGGATTCACGTTGAGAGCCCTAATAAGATATACTTATCTAAAGGATTTATAGTTGGGGTGAAGGGAGTTTTCAGTTATATTGCAGGGGCCTTGGAATTGGCCATAATTTATCGTATAAGTCTGGAAGATTCAGATTATGGAGCTGGCTCAACTTCTGGAGTCATGGTATGAGTCATACATTTGGCTAATAGTCAGGGAGACATTTCTGAAAAGCATGTCTAACGGCGTTTTGTGCTACAATCTGGCAACAGGCGGTTCTAGACTAATTGGCCCCCGCTGAAAACGATGCGCCCTGTTGCCAGATCCAATTTTGACATTTAAGCCCTTAAATCCAAGATGGTGGGCGAAATTACCGTTTTTCGGTTATTTCGAGCCCACAAGGAATGCACGCCACTGAACGTTTTGGGTAGTTTAAGGGTAGAATATAATCTAATACACACGTCGACATCGTTTAGGCACACTTCCGTATTCATATTAAGGGCCTAAATGTCAAAACTCCGTTTAAAAACGTCATAAATGCAAAAATTCGTCATTTTTTCTTCTCGCCGGTTGTCGGCGTCCAATATGCATTCATATGGTCAAGTTAACATTTAAGTATGTGGGGACCTCCAGCAGCGCGATATGCCTGGGGCCTAAATATCAAGATGGCGCCTGGAAAGTCCAAAAAACAGTGAAAAAGTCGTTCTTTTTGCCGTATTTTTACTACACTGGCCACACATTTCCCATTTCGATGGCCTGGAGCCATAATATGAGAATTGCGAATATCATTCTGGATGTTACACAACTGAAGGGCTTAACTGCGGAAGTGGGGACTCGTCTCCTATAAACTTTAACTATGGAACCAAGAGGCAGAAGTTGGTTTGGCGGCGTAATTTGAGGGCAAATATATTAAAACATGCTTCCCAAGTTTTCTTTAATTTTTTTTTAATTAAAACGTAACACTTGGCAGTCGAAACTGTTTAGAATATTGAGCACTAATACTATGAAGAAGGTATTATGCAAGAATAAGAACGTTACAGAGTTAAACGTTGTCTCTTGAAGCACTGACGTTTTCTCTCTGGATTGTTTTTGGCATATTACACATAGACTAGGTACTGTAAAAATCACCACCAGAGGATGATTCATGCTGCATGGCCTAGGGAAAACTGAAACAGTCAAATGGAAGTCATCACCGCGAAAGAAGACATGAGCACCATTCTACGATCAATAGAGATGTGGCCTAACGTTTGAATAGAGCATCTTCATGCGTTAGAATGTAATGTGATATCATGTTAAATTAGTATGAACGAGCTTAATGTTAATGTAAATGTTAGAGTGAGTCGTTAAATCCCAGGTTAAATCCCAAAAAGACACAAAACCTTCCCCATACTATTTTAATCTCGATTTTAATAGACAAATTGTAAAAGCCCCAACTAGTTTCGACCAACGGTCATCTTCTGGCTTAAGGAAATTACAGAATAAAACTTGTTAAAATCTTTTAGAAGTACACAATGCAAAATTTGGAAGGCAACATGGGGAAAAACGATGACAATTAAACAATAACATTAAAAAATATCTTCATTGAATGTAATCTTAGCCTACATGATGTAAAATTAATTGTCTTTTAATATTAAATGAAATATCGGGCGTAGGTGGAAGACGCCATCGAAGCGACACAGACGAACTTCAGGAGCGGCGCCGACGAAGATGCACAACAACACGCGAGTGCACTGATTGATACTTTCGCGAATCCGTTCGGTTCGAGAGGATAATTCCACCCCCTCTCGTGGGGGTGTATTACGTCCGGGGTGGCAGTCGCAATTACTCATAATAATGTTCCAGAACACCAAAATGAACAGCGAACGTAAAGAGTGACCAGTGTAGTAAAACTACGGCAAAAAGAACGACTTTTTCACTGTTTTTGGACTTTCCAGGCGCCATCTTGATATTTAGGCCCCAGGCATATGGCGCTGCTGGAGGTCCCCACATACTTAAATGTTAACTTGACCATATGAATGCATATTGGACGCCGACAACAGGTCAGAAAGAAAAAAAATGATTTTTTGCATTTTTGACGTTTTTAAGCGGAGTTTAGGCATTTACGCCCTTAATATGAATACGAAAGTGTGCCTAAACGGTGTCGTCGTGTGTACTAGATGTTGTTCTACCCTTAAACTACCCAAAACGTTCAGTGGCTGCCTTGTGGGCTCGAAATAACCGAAAAAAACGGCAATTTTGGCCGCCATCTTGGATTTAAGGGCTTAAATGTCAAAATCGAGTATGGCAACAAGGCGCATCGTTTTCAGTTAGTCTAGAACCGCCTGTTGCCAGTTTGTAGCACAAAACGCCGTTAGACATGATTTAGAGAGCCTTTTTCAGAAATGTCTCCTTGACTATAAGCCAAAGGTAGGGTGTTGTTAATACGTCTACGAGTGAAACAAGAATTTTCGCGGCGATCTAAGTGCTCAAACAAAGAGGCAAGGGTCTATTACGGCCAAAACGCAAATTACAGGTAGTATTTTACATTATTAGCCAGGTAATTGTTGTTACTGGCTCTAGGAGATGACAGGTATGCTAACGGCTCGTCAGTCAACTTGTCCTATCGCCAGTAAAAAAACACTTACTTTCCTGGCTAATAATGTAAAATACTATAAATACTGAACTACACAACCATGAAAAGTACTAATACACAAAAACGAAGTATTCACAGCATGATACAGAAGAGGTTGGCATTGGCAACAAGAAGCGATCAAGCCACGTGTATGGTTCCAGAACAGTTCATAGACTGCGCAAGGAACTGCGCTTCTAAAATAGCCCCATGCGTTTACCACTTTTCAAATGATTTCATGCATTTCGTGCACCTACTATTTACTAAATATACTCAATGACTCATGTAATGCAATTTGTATGTTAAGAACAGAGCAACAAACTTTTTTTGGTGTATTATTTACATTAACATTTCATATAACAAAAATAGATAATAAATACAATAGTATTAATACAACTTAATAAATACTACTTAATTTCTGCGCACTTATACTTAACAGCCTCTTGCCAAGACTTTATTGGCTCACGTTTAGGATACGTTATAAATAAATTACTGTATACTTTATACAAAAAATATAATATATAATTTTAGATTCTCGTTTAATCTTATTTATAGGTATCTTAAATATGGCCAAAAGATGTTAAACATTTGATAGAGTTAAGAGCTGTCCCTTATCGGAATGTGAGTCTCCGTGACTGTGGTCGTGTCCAGCTGAAACAAAAGATTCGCAATTAGTTTATCTATTATAAACTGCCATTTGTGGTCGAGTATTAAAAGCTCGATGGAATGGGGTTAAGTCGTAGAACAGACAGTGTGGTACCCTCTTGGGTGCCCACCAGTGTGAACTTTCGCCCCTTTGAGCTAACATGCTTTTTTTTTTATTCATTAGAATATATAGTTAATATCATGTTTAGCTCAATAAATGCCTATTATTATTATTTCTTCTTTTTTATTTTTTTTTAATTGTCCATAAAAGTAGCTGGTGAAATCATCACATTCAGTATAGAAATGGTTTATCAATTAGGTACGCTTATTGCATAGTACCTGATGTTAGCCAACACCTGGTAGGTATATAAATGCAGTTCCTATAACGCCACAATTGGAAATGTACACCTATATTGTGCAAATTTTATGCATAATCAAACAATGAAAGCAAAATTGTAAACATTAGCACATTAACTGTTGACGAAATCTCTAAGTAATTATCAAAGACTACTTAGGTATCGTCCATTTTGTATAATTGACCGCCATTTGCGATAATTGAGGGAATATTTTGCGTTGCCTCCTTTTTCCGTGGAAATTCCAGCAATTTCATTGTGCTCAAGAAAAAAAACACGGTCACGAAATTAAGCTGTTCCTACACGCAAGATCGCGTAGATTTGAAAGTGCCGTGACATAACCTTGAAATTAATTACGAATTTCGAATTATCCAACAGAAAATTTAGCGAATGTTCTTTTGGTTCCGGTTCAAATTCACTTTCGTTTCGTGGCCGACGCACGCGGTTTTTTCTCTTTTTAATTAATGTAATATTAAGCTGACCGCCGAGAGAAAGTGAGGAAAAAATGAATTGAAGACGATTAGTAATTTTTAAGTGAAACGTAATTTGGCTTTCAAAACTCAAATCGAAAGAAGTATTGCGCGTTAATGAACTGCTCCCAATAAAATCCCAAAATGTTTATTATTAAATTGAGACCATTAGAACAAATCATAAGCAGTGAAACAAAGAAAAGAATTATGAATATATTATTTTTGGTAAAAAAAGGAAGGTATTACACTGCCTTTTTTTGAGCCCCGAAAAAAAATTGTCTCAGATCGATCCGGAAAAAAAATTTTCTTATAGAATGTGGCCTGTAGAATCCATAATTTCAAACAGTTCCAAGATTGGGGTACTAGTTCAAAAGTTACAGCCCTTTGAATTTTCTTTCGAAATTGGTTTCTAGTCTATAACTTTTGATTGAGAAGTCTGATCGAAAAAGTACGAATTGTTTTGGATTCTACGCACCAAAATTAATAAGAAAAAGTGTTTTCCCGAGAAATTTTGGTGTAGTCGATTTTTGGTAAAAAAGGAAGGTTAAACACTGCCTTTTTTTGAGCCCCGAAAAAAAAATTGTCTCAGATCGATCCGGAAAAAAGTGTTTCTTATAGAATGTGGCCTTTAGAATCCATAATTTCAAACAGTTCCAAGATTGGGCTACTAGTTCAAAAGTTACAGCCCTTTGAATTTTTACTCGAAATTGGTTTCTAGTCCGTAACTACCAATCCAATCATTAAGAATACCTTTCTAAGTGAATAATAGAAACAAAATTCCTTTTACAGGATATCCTTGAAAATAGTTTCCTTTGTTTATGACACGCGAGTCGATGTTGTTTTTGTCCCTCTTACGTAACTTTTGACCCATAGACCTCCATTACGCCAATAATTGGGAACCCCGTGGGCCGCCCGTCAAAATCAAGGTTGTACGTTGTTGACGGAAGCGCCTGATGGATTTCGATTTCTAACTGCACCTTTTCTTTCTTGGGCAGGTGTAGAAAGTTGCAATGTAAATAAATGCATTGAACTGAAGCGGTACTACATTCCCAGATGCGAGTTCTATTTTAAGCGATTGCCATTTCTGGCTCTAACATCACCTAGTTCAAGACCAGTTTGGATTCCGTCGGTGGGCGTTTATCAACATGTAGGTAGGTACTTACTGACAAACTGTAAACCGAACATAATGCCGAAGCCGGCGATGATGGCGACCAGTTGCCAAATTCCGCTGTGTTGATTGCTACGCTCCCTCGCCAGCACCTCGAAGAAGACGACGTAGAGCAGCGTGCCGGCGGCCATCCCTTGCAAAATTACCGAGACGACACCTTCCTCGGTACCATCTCCGCTCTCACTGAGCGCGATTCCCACCCCGATTCCTGCGGGACGACTAGGAGGTGCAAAGCGTACAGATCAGATTAATCATACCTAAAGGTGAGACGAGGGCGAACGTTCCTATGTAAATAATGAGTAATACTGCTTTGGTATGAGAAACTGCCAACTCCACGCCAACGCAAAACGCTATCACCAGTTTGTGGGTGGCGATGGCGGCGAACAAGTACCAAACCTTTTGGACGTCGTTTTCTAGCCCAACCGCCAGCCCTTCGAAGACCGCGTGAAAGCTCAGTGCCAAAACGGCCAGGAGACCACGAAACGAGTTCTTCATCGAACTTTCCACGTGAATGTGACTGTGGCCGTTATGGCTACTACTGCTGTGGCTCAGATTCGTCTGGGAATTGAAAAGCTCCTTGGTCGAATTCGAGATGTAGCTCACATTGCTACCCTCCAGCTTGTTGAGGCTCACCCTCGGTATGGTCATGTTTTCCTTCTTGCACTTCACCGACAGTGACCGATGGAGCGGCGCGCTCCGATCCATTTTCTTATGCAGAATCAAGTGGGCTATCTCCTCGATCAGGTACACGAAGAAGAAGCCGAGGCAGAAGATTAGTTCCGATACGGGAATCCCGGGCCCGATGATCGGGATCCTATTCTCCGCCTCCAAGTGCGCCAGACTTTCGCGCACTTCCGGCTGCAAATGCAGAAAGGTGGTGAACAGGAGGACGCCGCCACCGAAACACAGCAAAAGTGAGATCACTAAATTATTGTCTTTGTCCGCCGTTTTGATGTTTACCATCTTGGTCAATTTGAGCGGCAGCACGCCTACGATGAACGAGGCGATTCCGAGTACGGCCATCGAGACCACCTTGGCCGTGAGTAAATTCGAATTTTTCTCGTGAAATTCCTCCACGTGATCGTGCTGGTGATGGTGATGCATGTTTGGGCGCTTTGCAATTCGCGAACTTTAAAAAATGCGACAAGGCTGACCACCTTTCACTGAAAAAATAATAACGCGCGCCAGTAACAAATTTGACCTAAATAATATTTCGGGATCGCCCTCTGGTACCTAAACAATTTGCAATTACGCAAAACTAGGCCGGAACGATTTGCGATTGCGAAATTGTCACGTAATCTCTTTTGGCGGCGCGGCACTTCAAAAATGGAAAGGAGGCGAACCGCTCACTGCACAGCGCGCACCTTATTCTTAAGGCTAACTGTGGAAGACTGAAGTGCGCCAGGTGATTTCATTGAATTAAAATGTCAGTACAAACGTGGGTAATTCGAACCCAGCATTGCACGGGTCACGATTAGAAGAAAAACAATAAATACGCGTGCGTGCAGCCGTATACGCAAATAACCTACGCCCGCTGCATTTTTTTAATTATACGCCACTCTGGACGCACTTGTTATAAATAGGCGTCCAAAGTCGGGTGCGATGATACTTTGCGAAAATATGCAAGCGAACTTGACTCGCCGTCCGAAAATTCAAGGGTCAATTCGCGACAATTGTCTCAATTGGTTCCTTGATCGGCGGGTAATTAAATTTTAATCCGCTACACTGGTGACCCCGACATTGTTACAGTCGGCGCACTTTAGAAGTCGTAGTCACCTGTTGCACAAGACGCAGGGAAACTCGGGGTGCATTAAGTTGCAACCCCCACTAAAAAGAATAGCAAATCTATTAATACCGTTATTTTGTACTAATTGTGTACTTATTTGTACCGCCGATACCAAATTTTGTACCACTACATTTTAGTCAGGGAGACATTTCTGAAAAAGGCTCTAAATAATGTCTAACGGCGTTTTGTGCTACAAACTGGCAACAGGCGGTTCTAGACTAATTTGCCCCCGCTGAAAACGATGCGCCCTGTTGCCAGACCCGATTTTGACATTTAAGCCCTTAAATCCAAGATGGCGGCCAAAATTGCCGTTTTTTTCGGTTATTTCGAGCCCACAAGGCAGCCACTGAACGTTTTGGGTAGTTTAAGGGTAGAATAACATCTAGTACACACGACGACACCGTTTAGGCACACTTTCGTATTCATATTAAGGGCGTAAATGCCTAAACTCCGCTTAAAAACGTCAAAAATGCAAAAAAATCATCATTTTTTTCTTTCTGACCGGTTGTCGGCGTCCAATATGCATTCATATGGTCAAGTTAACATTTAAGTATGTGGGGACCTCCAGGCGCCATATGCCTGGGGCCTAAATATCAAGATGGCGCCTGGAAAGTCCAAAAACAGTGAAAAAGTCGTTCTTTTTGCCGTAGTTTTACTACACTGGCCACTCTTTCGCGTGTTGTTGTCTTCTTCGGAGCCGCTCCTGAAGTTCGTCTGTGTCGCTTCGATGGCGTCTTCCACCTACGCCCGATATTTCATTTAATATTAAAAGACAATTAATTTTACATCATGTAGGCTAAGATTACATTCAATGAAGATATTTTTTAATGTTATTGTTTAATTGTCATCGTTTTTTCCCCATGCTGCCTTTCAAATTTTGCATTGTGTATACTTCTAAAAGATTTTAACAAGTTTTATTCTGTAATTTCCTTAAGCCAGAAGATGACCGTTGGTCGAAACTAGTCGCGGCTTTTACAATTTGTCTATTAAAATAGTATGGGGAAGGTTTTGTGTCTTTTTGGGATTTAACCTGGGATTTAACGACTCACTCTAACATTTACATTAACATTAAGCTCGTTCATACTAATTTAACACGATATCACATTACATTCTAACGCATGAAGATGCTCTATTCAAACGTTAGGCCACATCTCTATTGATCGTAGAATGGTGCTCATGTCTTCTTTCGCGGTGATGACTTCCATTTGACTGTTTCAGTTTTCCCTAGGCCATGCAGCATGAATCATCCTCTGGTGGTGATTTTAACAGTACCTACTATAGTCTATGTGTAATATGCCAAAAACAATCCAGAGAGAAAACGTCAGTGCTTCAAGAGACAACGTTTAACTCTGTAACGTTCTTATTCTTGCATACCTACCTTCTTCATAGTATTAGTGCTCAATATTCTAAACAGTTTCGACTGCCAAGTGTGACGTTTTAATTAAAAAAAATCAAAGAAAACTTGGGAAGCGTGTTTTAATATATTTGCCCTCAAATTACGCCGCCAAACCAACTTCTACCTCTTGGTTCCATCGTCCAAAGTTTATAGGAGACGAGTCCCCACTTCCGCAGTTAAGCCCTTCAGTTGTGTAACATCCAGAATGATATTCGCAATTCTCATATTATGGCTCCAGGCCATCGAAATGGGAAATGTGTGGCCAGTTTAGTAAAAATACGGCAAAAAGAACGACTTTTTCACTGTTTTTTGGACTTTCCAGGCGCCATCTTGATATTTAGGCCCCAGGCATATCGCGCTGCTGGAGGTCCCCACATACTTAAATGTTAAATTGACCATATGAATGCATATTGGACGCCGACAACCGGCGAGAAAAAAAAATGACGAATTTTTGCATTTATGACGTTTTGAAACGGAGTTTTGGCATTTAGGCCCTTAATATGAATACGAAAGTGTGCCTAAACGATGTCCACGTGTGTAGGTACTAGATGATATTCTACCCTTAAACTACCCAAAACGTTCAGTGGCGTGCCTTGTGGGCTCGAAATAACCGAAAAATGGTAATTTCGCCCGCCATCTTGGATTTAAGACCTTAAATGTCAAAATTGGGTTTGACAACAGGGCGCATCGTTTTCAGCGGGGGCCAATTAGTCTAGAACCGCCTGTTGCCAGTTTGTAGCACAAAACGCCGTTAGACATGCACTTTTCAGAAATGTCTCCCTGACTATTTTAATCGTTAGGACCAAATCTACATTGGGGTAGCAGCTAAACGCCACCACCCCAAATATTCAGATTCTTAAAAACGTTTGTGCCACCATTTTGTACTCATTTTGTACTAATTTGTACCGTAAATAATAAGTTTTGTACCACTACCTTTTAACCACTAGGACCAAATCTACATTGGGGTTGCAACTTAATGCCACAACCCCAAGTATACAGATTTCTATAAATGCATGGCCCATAATTTTGTACTCATTTGTACCATTACCTTTTAACCGCCACTATCAAATTAATTTTGGAGGTGTAACTTAACGGTACAACCCCGAGTATACAAGCCCATGCAAATTTTCGCGCCATAATTTTGTACTAATTTGTACTGTAAGTAACTAATTTTGTACCAGTACTTTTTGACAGCTAGGATCAAATATATGTTAACGTTACTATCTCGTGCATATATGTACCTACATTCATAAAATTCTTGACCCTTGATTTTGTACTCATTTTGCATTAAATTTGTACCACTGCGTTCCATCCACTAGTATCCAATCTATATTGGGGTCACAACTTACGTCACAACCCCTATTATATAAATTTGCCAAAATTTTGTCCCATGGTTATGCACTAATATAATGTATCGTTATAAGGAAATTATTTTTACGTACGTTATTTCATCCCTTTTTTCAATTTTTCTTAGGTACTCGTAGTAGTATCAAAGAGTAACTCTTCGGTAGTATTATAACTCTGAATTGGGATCTCGCCACGTAGAAAATTGCGGATATTTTTTAGCGACTTTTTTAAGAATTAAAAAAATGTGCTATTGTTTGCGTTTTGTCCGTCCGTCCGTCCGGATCCACTTCTGCTGTTTTGAACTACTCCTAGGCTATCAGTCAGCTATCGATTTTCTCTGTCCGTTGCTGTACTTGTAAGCTCATCTTCCATCCTTTCCCCCGTTTCTCTTCCCCTTTTTTATTCTTATTCTTATTCTTATTTCTTTCATAATATTTTTTTGTTTGTTGCCGCCAATTTCCTTATGTGTTAATTTCTTAGTTCTGTTGTTTGAGCATTTCGTTGCATCTGGGTAGTATCTCTTACTTCCCCTACTGATTTCCTGCCTCCCCTCCATCCTTCCCATTATTTCCTTCATCTGGTCTACTGTGCGATCAAAAATGAGTTGCTGTCGAGTCACCTTTGGAACTTTTGTTTACATGGGAAATCGTATTTAACTTGAACTTCCAAAGGCGACTCGACAGCAACTCATTTTTGATCGCCCGTTACCTCTCTTGCGATTATTACTGTGTCGTCAGCGTATGCCAAGGACCTCCCTTAAATGCTTCATTTCTTCCAGTATTTTTTTTCGTTTACTATTGTGCCGACCTCCCATTTCCCCCCATGTATGTAAATTGACAGTTTCCCTCTCCATCCTACAAAGTATAATTATTGTACCAAAATTTACCTAGGTAATTACAGACAAAAATCTACCGCATCACTTTGATTTGTTGGGACACTACAGAATTCAAATATGGATAATAGCATATTCAAATTTCCTCGCTAACATGAACTTTAGAAAAGTTAATGGAACTTTACGTCTCGATTTGCACTTTATGCAAATTTGTTTACAAAAATAGTGCACTGACCGCTTCTAATTAACATGTTGGGCCGTGCTCCAGAACGCATCGAGTTTGGTCACGTTCAGATGCATTAAGCCATCGAAATCGCCCAAACAAGCAATTCCTGCGACATTCTCTGTTCCGGGTAAAAAAAATTCCCTCTAAAATAATCACCACGTCACGTCGATACTTTCTAATCGTTTGGAAAATAAAGCGTCCCGTTTACATTTCTGTGTCGCTCAACTCGAGAAGGTCGGCAATTGTGTGCGTGGGTAATTTTAATACCAACCATTGACATTGACACTGCCTGCTAAACGTGCGTTCTATCAAATCGGATATGATTAACGCCGTTTAATTTGTATTCCAAATCAGTGCTTGGGTGCAATAATCTTCGCTCAAGGAGAAGTAAAAGGAAGAAAGTGGATTGGCTCGGATCGGCACTCTCGCGTGGGTGTCATCTTTGAGGAAACGTGTCAAGGCGCTTGTATTGTTTAGTATAATGACTTAATTAACTGGCGACAATACCATTTTAAATTGTTCTAATCCGACATTCAGAAATTGGTTCGCTTGCCTTTGTTTGGAACCTTTAAGTATTGAGCCCATACAGATTTTTGAGTTTCCAAAGTGATTTTAGAACCTTTAGGTACTAGATATTGAGTCTCTCTAAGAGTTTGTGAGAAAATTAAAGAGACCTTAAAATCACATTCAGCCTACACAACCTACTAAATCTTTTAAAATTGTCAGCTCCACTAAGAGACCTTAAGAGCTTCTATGAGTTTAACTTTCAAAGGTTTTTATGGGCCTTAAAGAGTGTTGAATGGTCTGTATAGTCTCCAAAAGCCTTTGAAATTTTTA